ACCAACTTCCCCGATTTTCGCGGAGGCATCAATACGACAGTCATCGTCTCATCGGTCGCTGTTCAGAAAGAAGTCAGCAATAAACCGTCAGAAGTAATATTGTGATTTATTATTGTAATATTTGCTCACAGACCTTAGTCATACTTGATTTATATGTTGGTGTAACAATAAATAATCCTCGAGTCAACAATTGGTGTTTTGGTTTTTCATCCGTTATTACTAAGCGTTTCTGAGAAACTTCAAGCGACAGCGTGAGCCCGAGCGTAGCAAGAGCTGGGCATTAACGGTTTACAAGACGTAGCTGATAGTTTCTGACGGTAGAAACAGATTCTGGCGGATTCAGACAGTTGGTGAAAGTTTGGATAGTCACCGTTCATCTTTCCTGGTGCCGGTCAAGTCCTCTTTAAACAAGCAATATCTGGACCATTTTGGAATTGGGTCAAGTTCAAAAATGCCTGGGTCAAGGAGGGACAGAGTGTCTTGGATGCAAACAGGAAAGTAAGTCATGTTGACTTGTCTGTTACTTGTAATGATGTGTCTGATGTTAAACATGACATGGTTGGTGTTACTGTTTCGCCGTTCAGGGATAATAGGAACATCAAACTCCCTAAATTTGAACCACGGTGTTTTGATGGAAACCCGACTGATTATTTACAATTTGTGAAGGAGTTTGAGATCATGCTGAGTAGTTTTCTATTAAGTGATGAATTGAAGTTAATGTATTTGATGAGGTATTGCACTGGAGATGCTTCAAGAGCTATACAGTGCTGTAAGCTCGTGCCCCCTAATGAGGGATACGCTGAGGCTATGAGCATATTACGTCAAAGGTTTGGAAGACCTTCAATGATTGTAAGGAACGTACACGAGGCTGTCAAAGGTAACGGCAGTCAACTTCAAGATGACTCCAAGGCACTTACTGAGTTTTTAGATAATCTTATGACTTATAAGAATACCTTGATTTCGATGAATTGCATGAATGAACTCAACTTGAGCTCAGTCCTAGAGGTAATAGCAAGTCACCTACCTACTCGACTGCAAAGGAAGTGGGTGAAGATAAGCTCCCGTATGGAGGATGAGGGTATCGAGCCAAAGTTTGATGATATCCTGAAACTGGTAAATACTAGTGTCAATCAATCGATGAGCAAGTTCGCCAGTGTATTAGATCTCACCCCTAGAATAGAGCAGTCTGAGGGTAAAAGGCAATCATTGATGACGAATAGGCCTCCGAGAGGTGGATATCGAGAAGGCTCCATGATGTCTAGTAATGCATATAGACCTAGTGAGTGTAACAGGTTTCGTAGTACATCCTCAACAGATAAGTTACAAGATGCAAGACAAACACGGTTGTGTTTTACACGTTTGCAAGAGGTGTATACAAAGTTGAGGTGTGAACCAGTGAGCAAGTTCAGTGATAAGCTAAATGTAAACTCCAGGCCTGACTCCGAATTGTGTGACGATAACGGTGTTGTGAAGAAGTCTGTAGTTGCAACTGGTAAGCCATTGTTGAATAGAGTGTCACAGAATAGAGTTACTGCTTCAGAGTTCAGTCCTGACCCTACAAGTTTACAAGGTATTACTAGTCAGGGTGAAGGTATAAAATCTTTAAGGATTTGTGAGGAGAAACCCAAATTGCCTACTTCTGTTATTAAAGAGTTTGAAAATGATGAAGTTGACGGTAAAGTGAATATTCGTGATAATGATCATGATACTTCACAGTTGTCTTTGGTTGATCATGATGAGATGAGGGATATGCCTACTACTTCTAAGTTGAACAAAGGTTCTGTACAACTACAACGTGAAGTAGAAATAAATGCAGATGCAGTTGCAGAAGGCATGCATACTTGTGAGACCGTCAGTGTGATTGATCAGCATGTAGCCCACCTATCATCAGATGTTAGTGCTAAACCTGAGCTGATAGTAAAAGACAGCAGTAGTGGTAATCTTGCAGTTAGACAAGTATCTGAAGGCCGAACAAGAACAGCTTCTGATCCACCGCTAACTTCATCAACTGGTATCAATCGGTCATCATTGGTGTTTTCATCCACGATGAAACAGTCGCCCATCAACTCAAGTATCTTGTGCAATGACTATGATAGTATTGGTGCATTTGAAAAGACGAAAGATATTGGTCAGTTTAGAGGGATAAGCCAAGTGTAAACGAGAGAGTAATTGTTAAGTTGACTTGCATGAATAAAGGCATTTCTTGTTTCAAGTTACTAATTGAATGTTATTATCTTTGGTGTAAATTACTCTGTTTCTACACTTGGTTGATGAGATATGTCGTGTGTTTGTTGGTCATCTATATTCTACGATACAATGACAAGGGCGTGTTGCCGTTCAGATTTGAGGATATCGCTCATAGATGGAAGTTAGCAAATGAACTCTGCGACGATTTTCCAAACTAGGGCGTCAACCTGAGAAGGAATGTAGGCGTACTGGTGTAAGTCCTGCGATTCTTCAAAGGAATTCCATCGAGATACGATCTGCGAGTTTGTGTGTACTGTTTGTATATATGTGTGGTTTGTCATATCATTTGGTGTTTTTGGATTAATTTTGTTTACTCGTTGTTTTTGTACCTTGTTGTTATTGCGTAATTTTGTTAAAATTTTCGTCGTGATTGCTTCCGAAGTTGTTTCGAGTCTTCTACATCCGTGAATGAATTGATTGATGTTAAGGACAGCAGATGGGTTGTATACGCCGGGGAGGCTAGGCTATTGCTGAGAATGACATGCACACGGAGATAATTGTTAGGTGCGGTCCCACACGCCGGGGAGAAAGAGTGTAAACGACTGAAGCTCGCATACGTCGCCGTTAATAGAATTGAGGCAGAATGAGTGACAAGCGATTTCAGTGGTAATTGGTAGTGAGTAGATAAGAGGATGTGCGTAGAGTATCGTGAGGTGGTGCTATGGTCACGTTGCATTCTGCAAGAGTCATTCTAGCAAGTGGCGATTGTGTTGCAAGATTTCAAGAGGAGGTCTCTATCTGGAGGCGCAGGTCGTCATTGATGTGTGAGATTGCGCTGTGAGTATGCTTGTGGTGTGTTGGCTTTTCTGTTTGTTTTCCATTTCAGCTCTGTCTGAGTGACCCAGGTTCTCGCAATGGCATCCAAGTCAACGAGTATTGGTCGTGATGGAAAAAAGGGTTGGATCCGTATTTTCCCGGGGAGTTTCAATGTAGTTGAAGATTGAACAATCAATTCATGGTTGTTTGCTCAAAATCAACTTCCCCGATTTTCGCGGAGGCATCAATACGACAGTCATCGTCTCATCGGTCGCTGTTCAGAAAGAAGTCAGCAATAAACCGTCAGAAGTAATATTGTGATTTATTATTGTAATATTTGCTCACAGACCTTAGTCATACTTGATTTATATGTTGGTGTAACAATAAATAATCCTCGAGTCAACAATCGGTGTTTTAGTTTTTTCGTCCGTTATTACTAAGCGTTTCTGAGAAACTTCAAGCGACAGCCTGATACCGAGTGGAAGAACAGCTGGGCTTTAACGGTTTACGGGACGTGGCTGACACCGCATGTGCGCAATTCACTGGTGATCAGTAATTTCTGTTATTTCGTTTTCTTTGCTAAATGTGTTCACCATACGATTTGTTTGGCTTGTAGATTTACTAAATATAGCACTTGTTTATTTCACACAGATTTACATTTGAAATGATCCACATCAATATTTTCATGAAGTCCTCATTTATAGACCCACCAACCTATAGTGTTTTCAGGAATGTTCTATAGGATACTTCGCGCAGCAATTTATAAGCAGATGGCAATGTAGAAAGACGTTGGCCCTGATTGAAGGCTTTTTAATAATAATAATAATAGTAATAACCGAAAGCCTTCTTAATATCACACCGTCTGGTATATGAAATATTTTCCCAAGGCCTTCTCATGCATGTATACAGCAATCAATCCAGTCACATATTTTCAAGCAATGAAGTGGTGTTTGGCAAACTGGTCTTCAAGATTTAGGTGGATCTCTTTTATATAGCTTCCGACTCTGCCTTTCTGATTTAGTTTCCTTGTCCTGTGTGCCTCCCGGGGTATGTCGGTTAAATGCAATGATTTCTCGTCCAATGAAAAGATTAGGAAACCAAAGTCTTCTCCATTACAGGAGAAAAACGCGTGGTCTGATATCTATGATCGGCCTGCAAAATTTAGGCTACCAAAATCCATGCTGAAAATTCCATACTTGTACCAAAAATACAGTGTAGAATCAAGCTGTAATCAAAAATAAAGTATGGCGATTTTCTCAGTGTAAAAATCCGTATAAGTTTAGACGGGGAACAGATTTCACTATGGTTGTGTGGTTAATTGGAGGAAAGCGAATTCTATCAGACAGCGGGTAATGAAGTCATATTGAACTCTAGCAGGTGTGAGGTGTATATTTTCGCAACTCGGAGTCACAATCTTCTCTACAATATTTCTAGCTTAATCTTCACTCTTAAGCAATATATGCGATAATTTTCTGTTCGTGTTGGGGAAGACAGGCACGTGCAGAAGCCGTGGGAGAGGCAGTGAAGGCCACTAAATGTCTTGATATAATGTTACGTAGCCAAAATAATGCTATATTCGTTTACAGGGCCGTGTGATACATATTTTTAATCTCATTTTGAGGGGCGGATTATTGTTTAGCAGACAACATTCTGGAGGTCAGAAAGAAAGCACATAAAGCAGCTACAACTGGCTTCGAAGAAAAGGTCCTTATACCTTAAGTGACAGCTGATTTGAGGGCGTTTGGTGTGCGGATTGAAGCAACTCCATACCACCATGTAGCTTTGCAGACACAAATATCATGGGAATTACAACCCTGTTATCACCCTGATCCCGACGTAGTTCCAAATTTTACACTATATCTAGGTTTGTTTTATGTCAAATAAAACAAAAAGCTTATTATAGGCAATGTAGCTTAAACAATATGTCAAACTCAGGTTTTGTTATAACTCATCGATTTTCATTGTCATTGGTGAATTTCAGTCACTATTTTTCGAAAATGACGAATCAAAAATTGCAAATTACAAAGAGCTCAATAAGTCAGCTTCTTTTTTCACCTCTAACAAGGTATCGAGAATATCATGCCAGAAAAATCTTTTTTAGCTTAACGAGACTTGAAGTTGCGAAATCTATTATCAGAAAAAATAAATGTGACAATTTATTGCTTATTCTTGGTTTGTGTATCTCCATATCCTTTAATGTAAGCTTAGGAATCGATTCTCGGTATAATAGGGGCTCCATAAATGCAGTTTCATTTTTGATTTTTAATGCATTCGAACACAATCATGACGAGATTGCTAAAAGTAAATTAGAGTCAGATATATTCGAAGGTACGAAATTATCACCAGTGTATTGTTTCCAAAGATGTTTTCTTGTGCATAGGCTTGAACGAAATTATAATATACTGCAATTTTGCCAGTTATTCTTTACTTCTGCCGTATATTAGTCACTGGCCAAACCTTCGTATACATTTCGTTAGTGAAAAAGATGTATGACGCATTCTTTTGCTGATATTATTTTTAGATGAAGCAATTTGAAAAACATGAAGAAATTAAAGTAAATATTTTTGAATGTACTATGTCCAGTGCTAAAAGGATAAGTATCCCATATGCAGATGCTCACGGTAAGTTATTATTGTGGTCTCACAACATATTGATTTAGGCAACAAGGTCAAAGAATTTAATAAGTTAATGATCGAAGACTGGCCGTTAATTCAAAGCTATGCTTTCGATATCGAACATCAGTAAGGCACTCATGATTTTATTTTGGTTCATTTGGCTTTTTCGGAATATGTACTATTCAGATTTATTGGTTGAGGATAGAAGGCTTGCAGCCTATGTTAATCCTTTTCTAGTAGATTTCTGTGGTTGTCCAAACCCTTCTTGAACGAATCAGTTGAGGTTGCAGACACCACTTCTTCTGGGAGTCGGTTCCAAGAGTTTATGACTCGATGTGAGAACCAGTACTCAACAGCAATATGATTTCTCCTTGGCTTTTGAACTTTCCTGCTATGTCCTCTAAGGTGTTCCGACCTGGTGGGAAGGAAAAGAGAGAATAGGTCAGGTCCGTAGTCATTATTTAAAATTTTAAACATTGTGATTAAATCTCCTCTCTGCCTACGGTATGACAGTGAGAAGAGATTTAAACTATCTAGTCTTTCCTCGTATGATAAGTTAGCTATGCCGTGAACCATACGTGTTGCCTTCCTTTGAACACTTTCTAGAATGTGTGAATCCCCTTTTAGACAAGGACTGGCGGCCTGGATGCAGTTTTCCAGTCTTGACCTAACCAGAGATGTGTATAAGGAGGTGAACATATCTCTGGTAATTCTTGTAAAGGCTCTGCGAATCGCCCATAAGGACCTGAAACTACGTGCAGCCACCGCGCGACAGTGTGCTGTAGTTTTTAAGTCGTGGCTAACTATGACACCTAAGTCCAAGTGAGTCTGAACTGATGGAAGTGTTATTCCCTCTAATTCGTAGGGGCTTGTGCTTGATTGTCCAATGCGCATGGTTGCACATTTTGCCACATTGATCGGGAGCATCCATTCAACAGACCACTCCGACAATTTGTTGAGGTCCTCTTGCAACGTGAACGTATCACTGTTGTTCTTCAGCTCTCTCCAAATTTTTAAGTCATCTGCGTATAGGACCATAGGGGAGTCGGTGAGCAGAGGTAACTCATTGATATACAGAATAAAAAGGAGAGGACCGAGAACCGTGCCTTGTGGCACTCCGCTACTTACTGCTGTCCAGGAGGAGAGTTTTGAGTTGATCCTAACCCTCTGCCTCCTATCTATGAGGAATTCCCTGAGCCAGTCTAGTAGTCTGCCTTTGATACCAAGACTTTCCAATTTCATGAGTAGTCTTTTGTGAGGTACTTTATCAAAGGCTTTACTGAAGTCTATGAAGACGACGTCAACGGGTCTTCTGTTGTCCTTTGATTTGACCCAGCTTTCTCTTGCAGTCAGGAGATTTGACAGGCATGAGAGGTTCCTCCGGAAGCCATGCTGTGCTCCAGATAACAAGCTGCTATTTTCCAGATAAGCCATGATGCTTTTCTTGATAATTCTTTCCAGTGTCTTGATTAAAGTGCTGGTGAGACTGATAGGCCTGTAATTTGAAGGGCTTTGTCTTGATCCTCCTTTGTGTATGAGGGTTACTATGGCGTCTTTCCAATCACGTGGCAACACTCCATTTAGGAGAGATAGCTTGAAGATCGTGGTCAAGGGGCCGGCTATGTGGGCTGATAGCTCCTTGAGAAGCCTTGGATGAAGATTGTCAGGACCCATTGATTTCCCTGCATCTAGTTTCATTAAGAAGTTGAGCACGATGCCTTGGTCGATGTCAACGGAATCTATCCCATGTTCTTCTGATGCAGCCAGAGCTGATCCTATAGGCAGTGATGACTCCTGAGTGAAGACTTGGGAGAAGTAGTTTGCCATTGCTTCTGCTTTTTCTTGATCTTCTTCGATTGTATCTTTGTCAATAATCAGGTTTGGGACACCATTGGGTGTTTTATTCCTGAAATTTAAGTACGAGAAAATTTTCTTAGGTTGTGCCTTTGCATTTTGAGCCAGGTGTTTCGTATTTCGAACTTGTCGTCGATTCTTAGCTCAACAGTCGGTTTTCATACTGATAAGTCTAATTTATTTAATTCGAATACTTATTTTTAAGTAGAACTTTTCAAAAATCAAACTTATTGAAATACTGGTGAAAAACTTCACTGTAATTAATTGTTTCAATCTTTTGCTTATATGAACGTAGTTACTGTGTCCTTGTGCCTATCAGTTCCTTTAGAAATCGGTCTGACTTTATTTTTATGTGTTTGTTGCAAACCTCGTTTTTCTCCAAAAACATTCCATCCGTTTACCATGAAAACGTCCCATACTCTAATCAATGGTATTTTAAGTATTAGATCTGTCAACAAGTAGTCTTGAACAATGGTGTAATCTGCGAAAAGAAGCAAAAGCGTTTCATAATTCAGCAATAATATGCAACTTCATTTTAGTGAAGACATTTATTTAATTACGCTAGAAATGAGAATTGGTAGTAAGTGGCGAAGAGTAACACATTCATTTTCATTGTTTCCTCTTTCTGCGTTTTCATTCAGAACATACTAAAGTGAAGGATTGTTTCACGCTGAAAATTCGACCGAAAGTTGTTGACCAGCATTTCGAAATTTATTAGCACGTATCGTTTATTTGTTATATCGCAAGGATTTTCTAACAGCAAAAACCTGTATTTAAAGTTTATTTATTTATATTTTATACTGTTTTAGGTCATCAAGGGAGTTTTTCACCTTATCGCGTGAAGTAATGCAGTTTGCAGGAGAATTGATTCGGGTTTTTTTTCTGTAGGTAGTCGATGTTGAAAATGAATTTCATCAGTTAACAAAAAGGATCGATCCTGTATTCATTGAATCTGTTCTAGTCAGAGTAAGTGAAAATGAAGGAATTCTATCCTAGGCATAACTGACCACTAGCACTTGAAGTACCTATTAAGTGAAATAAAAATCATGTGGTATGGTGTGATATAATATAAATATAAAATAAATGAATCTTAACATTTCAGGTGCATCATGATTTCATTTTTGACTTTTAAATATATTTTTGCAGTTAAAATGAGATCTTATGTGCAACTTGATTCCTTGACACCCATGTCCTTAATTGTTTGAGAAATATTCAGAAATCCAAATGGAAGTTTTGCAAGGAATCGCCGTTGGGCTTAAATTCCTTAATACTTAGTCTGATGGAATTTTAACTTCTGTTTACTTCGTTTTATTTGAATAATGGTCTTTTATAATTGTTTACTTTAGACTATGTTGACTTTCACAAGCTCATTCGAAGTTACACTCCGTTCAGTTGACTCAACTTATCAGTCAAATCGACTACATGAACTAGCGCAAAAACAAACTGAAGTAAGATGGCTCTTATTTATATTTTTGTTATTCCTTATAATCATTATCATAGGCTCTTGTGAGTATGTACAACTATTCTGTTAGGGAAAATGGAGATTTAAAAGAACGGTAATTTGTTTTCAAGTTAACGTTTCGTTTTTGCAGCATACATTCACCTTTCATCGTCTATGGCATAAACACATGCAAAGACTATTTGAAATTTACCAGTCTGTTTACATTTTCCAGCAGTGAGGATGATGTAAGCCACATGGTAAGTTCCTCATTGATACTTCCAGTAACTTTTGTTTACATATGGGTAGTTATGAACTTATATTATCTCCGCAAATTCGATTTGTAGACAGGTTTAGGTACTGTTTTACATTTTAGTGAAGTTACGATCAGAACAGGCACTTAAATTCTTCGAAAATATTCTTGACACTGTTCGGATATTTAAAAATATATGTGTGATGCAAAGCTATAATAAATCGGAATATAGACTTAAATTTTACGGTTTAGGGTACCTGTTGCACTCATGAAAGAAAGATATTAGAGCTACAAGAATTCTCCAGATTGACTTTACACACATGAGATCAAAGTACTTGTTACCACTGTTGAAGAAGAAATGTTGTTAGCAGTAGGTTTAATCCAGAAATTGTTGTTACCTTGATAAACTAGCGAGCATTTATTTAGCACGATTTTATTATTTAATCACATAGTTAAGTGGAGGCTACTTGTCTTTTGTCCGTGTCTTCACTGGAAACTGTGCTGGTGTAGTTCAAGCGGCACGACTGCAAATGCATCACTATTACTCAGTATCACCCATCCCTTACTTTCGACTTACTTGGTATGTTACATTTCTTTATTTACTTTATCATTTTTGACTTTTGCTTTCAGTATTTTTGGGGTCTTTAAATAAATGACTTATCTATCTTTTCTATTATTACATTCCGTGTGATTTACAGACCTGAAGTGTGGCAGGTTGATTTACCACATAATATTGCAACGTTGTTTATTAGCAGTGTCTCTGCATTTGCCTGCTGAAGTTTTCATGTATATGTTGGATTTTCTTCGCGTATAATACCACCTGTACTTTCGTATAGATAATTTAGTTTCGTTTACCTTACTAGTGAATATTTTTCTACAGTTACTAAAAAATTTGAATGAGTTAACAACAATAATCTTGTATCTTTTGTTTTGTTGACACTTTGACTTAGGTTAAAGGTAATATTCATAGATTTCTCTAAAACTGGAGTTAATTTTATTCTTAAATGAATGCGAAAAATTATTTTTTGGAATACATTTGTAGCACGAAACTCAGTGTTAAATGCACTGAGAACACGAAAACTAGTATCACCTCATAACTGTATATTGAAGACATGAATAAATGAAATCATTGAAAAGCTTTAAAGTTCTAATACAATTTACACTTAGCCATAGAAAAGCTGATGAGGATTTTCCAAACATCTTATCAAATATTTGATGCGTGTTAACGATATAGATGACAGATACAAATCATATCTGTAGAAATTACAAATATCTTCTATTATTACAGTTTAGGTGCTTGGATTTCATTCTAGTTGGAAAACTTTTCACTAAGTGGTCAAAGGGAAATAGTTAGTGACGAATATTCATTATACAACTCTCGAAAATAATCAAAGTTGACGTAGACATATTAAATTTGAAAATTTTTAAAAAGTACGTGCGTATAGGAGACATTTAGTACCTAAATGCATAGCTGTAATTAAGACAGTGTCTAAACTTATCTTCACCAGGCGATAATATTTATACTGGTAATAATAAATACGTGGTAAAGAGTTTTACATTATACATACTTTTACCGTTTCATTATGTACGAAAGGCTGTGTGACTGTTTTGAACTTCGCATTTATTATGCCTTCTTTGAAACTATTATATTTAAGGGTAGATTTAAGGAAATTTTTAATTTAAAACCAGACTCAATGAACACTAGTCTCAAAAAGTTAAAAGCTTTTTCCTTCAAAGGTATCCGATTCTTTTTAATAATTTCGTTTATACTTCAGCATAGTATACTTCATCAAGCTCTTAAAATATTTTCGTAACCATATTATTTAAACTGCCTTTTTTAAATAGATAATTCATGGTAGTGAACAGTATGTTGGAATTTCTTGTGAGAGAACTTATTTCCTTCAGAAATCGTTAAGATTAGGTAAGTAATGAATCTTGTGGAAAGTTAATTAAAATAATTACTCATTTTAGATACACAAGGGTGTTTACGAATGAAGTAAGTAGTCTGTAATATTTTGTACCATATATATATATATATATATATCAAATGCGGAGCTTCACACTGATACTTAGCATGAATTAATGCGTCGAACCACAAAGGTTTTGGTTGTTGTTTAAAGCCAAGTAGGTACATGTAGACTTCTAAGCTGGAGTCTTCAATATCTAAAATCCAGTGTCTAGAAACTGCTAGGGACTAGGTTCAATATCATACTCATCAACACAAATTCGTTCACTCTTTGTAGTCTTCAAGATCTATTGAATTCCTACCATTCTCATAATAATATATGTGGAAGGGGAACTTCCAATGTTAGATTGTAGCGTAAAAGGAAAAAAGATGGGAAGTTTAACACTAATGTTTACAGGAAACCCACATATTCAAGCGGATATTTGGACTTCCAATCATCCCATCCTATGTCGGTAAAAACAGAATTGGTGAAATGTTTAAGTGACAGAGCACAAAAACTAAGTAGTACCAAGGAAAATCTAAGCCAGGAAGTGAGACATATAAGAGAAGCCTTGAAACTTAATAATTACCCTGACTAATTAATCAGAAAGTATGTAGGGAAATGTAAAAATAAAATAAATAATGATGGTAGTGATAGTGATAATGGTAATGATAATAATAACAGTAATATTAATGACGACATGCATGTCAAACATGCGCAAGACAACACCAGCAATAAGGAATTTAAATCATCAGTAGGTATTCCATACAAGGAAGGAACCTCGGAAACCTTACGCAGAATTCTTAACAAGGCAGGAATAAAAGTAGCATTCCATTTTAGTTTGTTTATTAGATATATCACACAGTGAAACAGTATTATTTACTGGGTGACGTTTCGAACAAAATTTATTGTTCATAATCATATCAAAAGTGGCATTCAAACCCACAAACCTAATTAGAAACAAGCTTTGTTGGTCAAAGGATCCTGTGGGCCACTAAAACAAAACAATTTAGTTTAACTAATACCTTGCAGTGATTGTCAGGTCAAACTAGTAGAACGGGGGCAGTCAGACTAGCCGAACATAAAAACCTAGCAAAATCTAGATTAGTTGACCCGAATAAAATGAGAAATCTACAGTGTAGTTCAGCTATACCACTCGCTGCATGCAATTACACACAAACATACAATAAGATGGGATAGGATGACAGTTTTAAAATCTAATGTCACAGGGTGGAGGAAGAGATTGATAACGGAAGCTTTGTTTATCGAATCAACTGCAAGTACGTGTAATAGGAATGATTCAACACCTGTCCCAGATATATGGAAAATTCCACTACCCCTACGACAAATAGAAGAGGAAAAAGAAAACTATAGAACTCAGGTTTCGAAGTCGTGTGGTTATAGTTGATATGATTATGAACAATAAATTGTATTCGAAACGTCATCCACTAAATAATAATACTGTTTCACTGTGTGATACATCTAATAAACAAACTAATACGGAATTTCCTACTATTCTCCTTGTACTTATTTTTTATATTGTACATAGGGCTTCAACTGCATGTCTCCTCTTGCTTCTGTCTCCTGCTGTACTGTTTCAGCTCCTCTTCACATGATCTCCATTTCACCCTTGCACTGGCGTCCCACTCGAGCAATGGCCTGACACGCGCGCCATGTCACCCAGCGGTCTCCTCAGCGAGTGTCCAATCCATCTCCACTTTCTCCTGCATATTTGTTGGTTGGTAATTGGTTCTTGTCTTGTTTTTTCCCAGCCATAGTTTCTTGTTGGTGATTCTTTCCGGCCCGCCCGGCCATCTGATCTTCAGTATAGATCCAGCGAAGACAGTTGTTGGTTGATAAAGGTCTGCAACAGGCTGTTGGAAATATTCTTTGTGGCCCGCCCGCCTGCCAAGTTTCTGATCCGTATGGAAGAATTGACTGACTTGACGTTTGTCTTGAAAATCCGACCGAGTTTTGTTGTTGATGCAGGCTGAAAGACGAAGATTTCCAGATTGATTTCAGGTTGATGAATGTGTTTCTCGCCTTCCCGATTCTCGCTTAATTTGACATCCTCGTCCGTTCCGACTTTCTGTAGTTGAGACAATGCTCCCTAGATCAGTGAGTGAATGAAGTAACCTTTTTGAAATCCCTCCCGTTGATGGTGATTGGCGCTGGATGTTGCTGTTGTTGTTGTTGGTTGGTTATTTTCATAACCTCCGTCTTGTCTATATTAACCTGGAGTGCTGTCTTCGCCAGCTGCTTCTTCGAACAGTTTGTCGGTTTTCATTTGGAAAATAAATCATCCAGTAATTTTAATTCTGCCAATATCAATGAGTGAAGATATGTTTTTACTCGGTTAATCGAGCAGATAAAATTTATTTAACTAGATAAGGTGTTGTTAGTAAAGTCCACCATTCAAAATGTGAAGTACTAAATAAAGTGAAATCTGAATCTGAATTGTCAAGTTAGTTTTCACTGGAAACAACAACAGTAATTTGTGACATGTTTGTCATCATTACTGACCACCATGATACTAAAAGTTAAGTCCATAGGAAATAAATTTATTTCACAGAGATAATTCGACTGAATGTAAAATATCTAATTTTCTGGAATAAATTTTATGACATATTATTTCTGTCTCTCATTAACACAGTGTGTAAACTTTTTTAAAATGAGGATTATTAATATGCTTTACTTGTTATATATATCCACAGTTTCATAATACAATACAATTCAGAGAAATACATACATTTCTTATATAAGTAATGGCTGACACGAAAATGCATAGCATTTCAAAGAGTTTATTATTTTCGAAACTCACTCATATCACATATCATCACCATCTCTTATTAAATTCATTATTACATTCAACCTCTGTAAAAGATTTTCTTTAAACTATGAACCATCATTCACATGAAGTATTTTATTCTGTTTTAGTACTCTTGTTCAAGTCTACTTACATTTGTTGAATTCTGTGAAAATGTTAGTTAATCAAGTCAAAACAACTTTGATGGAATTTGATGAGGTAACTTAGTCCTCAGTTATACTTTAATGCGTTATTTACAACAACAACAACAAATAGATTGTATCAGTGAATAAAGAAGAGTTAAAAATGAAGTTGAATTTCGTGAAGTATGATGAAATTGAAATAGAGTAAGTTTTGGAATGTATATAGAGATTTTTAAAGTTCCGCAGAATAGATGGGTCTTACAATGTCGTAAACACCATTTGAATAAACTAGTTATTCGAAAAATATGCGTAAATAAGCAGACTATTTAGATTCTGAAGTCAGTAGTTATTAAACACTAATAATTGCTCTCAGCATCCTCAAAGAGACAATCATAAATGTGATCTTTGTAATGTATAAGTTGAGACTTAAATCTCTTTGTTTATTTTTTATTTGTGTTAGAAAGTGTCATCAAATTATATGAACTAACGAACTCTGAATTAGATGATTGTCCTCAAAAACCAAAAGTTTTTGAAAGATAAATAAAGCATACTTTTCAAGTATTGGTTTTGTAGGGAATTTCGTTGGATTAGTTGGAGGATTTCATCATGAGCTGACATCAGTTAGAGAACTATTGGAAAACCTGCAGGGAGTACTGGGCAGCTGGGGCTTGATCCAATAGCGTGAGGCGGTAACTCATCGAAGAAGACATTGCGGAGTGGTCGCGCTATGTCATGAATTGATGGAAGTTAGAATTCATGCGCCGGCCATTGGATCGGGTCCCAGTGGCCTAATGGTCTACGAGCTCGTTCACCTTGTAACCACAAGGTCCTGGGCTCGAACCCTGTCGGTGGGTACATACTGTTGAAGAGTCCCAAATAGGACAACGGCTCAGTTGTCCAGTACTCCTCGCAGGTTTTTCAGTAGTTCTCTAACTGATGTCAGCTCATGATGAAATTCTCCAACCAAATAAAACAGACATTAAAGTCAGTTTACACAAGGTGATGAGAAGTGATTTCAGAAAAGTTAACTACTGAAAATTTGATGCATTTCAAACAAATCACTGACTAAATATAAGTATATAGATTTAAGTAGATAATGTTAAACATCATAAAATTTCCCTATTGCTTTTTTACCATTGCAGTTTTCAATGTGTTTACGGAAGACCTGATGAAGCTATACATTTAATAGCTTTTATCTTCCGGGTATATGATATTCAAGATGAAAACAACGTAACAATTGGCAGTGTTGGAGTTAAAGATACCCTACTTATTTCAAATCTCAAGTTAAATAATGGTTAGTGCTTACTGACTACCAAATTTGTATTAAGTGGTTTTACTCACTGTATACTTGACGTGTGTTTCCTTAAACATTTTCTATACTACATAATGATGCTGTAGTCAATATATCATAAGCTAAAGGTCGATGAACATCAAATTAAATATTGGTCAAAAGATTGCTTAAGCAGTTCTACAGAATCTACGTCTATTAACAAGAATTAATTAGGGCAAAGATTTTTGCGTTTACTGTTTTGTGCCATTGATAAGAAAGTACTTTTTAAAAGTCGTCCGATTTCCACTATAAGTTTATCCCATTTACATGTATATGGTTGGGATCGACTCAAGCTTCATTTGTTAAAGTTAAGAAAGCAAAAATGTTCTGCATAGGTCAAATAATGAGACCCTCTAGCTCAGATAACGAAATTCAGGTTTATTAGTAAAGTTATTTTTCTATCGATAGTACATCTCATTGTTAAGTTTTATAACCTCTAATAAGTATAACGTTTTGCATACATTATAAACATTTGTGTTAGTAACAGCACGTCTTAAAATACTGACTATTTAAAAGTGAGTGCAAATGATTAACTATCAACATAAGAACAAGATTGACATAACTTTGATAGAAATAAATTTTACAAGCAAATAACGTTAGATTAATCTCAGGAAATCATCAAAGCTTCTTTACTGTGGTCTGATATACCAACAAAGAACAGTTACGTAATATCAGCTAATGGGAATTTCAAAAATTTTCATCAAATAATAACTAGTACTTGCCGCACAGAAAGTGGCTGTTGTGGTTCAGTAGTCTAGTACATAACGCATAACATTTGAAATATGTGCCGGGTTATATCTCACAATGGGAACATTATTACCAACTGAGAGATGCGAGTATATCCAGTTGATAAGTCAAAAATAGAATAAATTGAACAATTTTGACCTCCTTGCTCACAAAACTGCGAACAAAAAAACAAACTAAACTAATTCGAAAAGGCAATAAAGACCTTCATCTCACTGAAATCAGTTTGTAAATCTTCTGCATTCAACATAAAGAATAAAATCAGGATTTTTAACATCACTGTTAAGTCAGTTTTTCTATATGGGTCAGAAACTTGGCGCCTCATGAAAACTATTTCTAACTGGCTTCAGATATTTGTCAGCAACTACCTTTGCTGCCTGTATATTGAAGATCGAATAGTCAGTAAGAATTAGCAACAAGAAAATCTTGCAGCCAACCAACCAAGAACCTGTTACTCGACCAATATATAGGAGAAATTCGAGAAAGATCAGACACTAGCTGAGTAGGCCGTTGAGTGACATCGCACACCAGGCCCTCGAGAGGAGCCTGAGTGGGTTGTCCTAGCATGACGGGACAGAAATCGTGTGAGGAGGAAATGAAAGCTTATGGGCAGTCGTGGGACAAGCTAAAGAGGACTGCAAAGAACGTGACGAAATGGAGATGTGCTGTTAAAGTCCTATGTTCCCCTTGAAACCTAAGGGAATAATAATAAAAACTGTTAATAAAGTATTTATTAGAGTGAAATATTATTATATTCTGGTAGTTCAGACTAATAAACAGTATAAATAAATAAGTGCTGTCATGGAAACACTTATGTAACCAATGTCTCTTGAGTGATATTTAAGTTTGAACAACAATGACGCCAAAAAGCACACCAAAAAACCACCTTTTTAAACATTTAATATCCTGTTATAATTATCACTACCAATTTTCCGTAATTGTATGTTAATGGAGGTCTTAGTAAGTATTCTATGCGTAAATGAAAGTACTTTGTGTCACTATGTCAACGCGTATGTTAATTCCTTTCTAAACTAGGACACAAAGTTATGCAGTCCTATTTAGTGGCCTAATTCAGTCACCTAACTGTGAATTTTCTTCGCGATATTCGATAAATTGTCGTTAGTAGGATTAAAGGTGATCGATTGTGGGAAATGATCCTAAATAATTCCAAGTTATGTCGTACTAAACTTACTAAAATTAATCAAGGTGTAGCTGATCTATAAATATCACCGCACTTTAATCACTGATTATTTACAGCTCAGAATGATGAGAGTTACCTCTATTGACTTGTGACCGCCAATAAACTAACACTATTTTTATGTATTATTATCTTATAGTTCTTATTAATAGAAGTTTAATCAATGTTACTGAGAATATACCATATATATGCTTCTGGACAGTGAGTTGAGTTATATTTCTTTAATAAATCAATTGTTTTAGTCTATCTTAATCACAAATTTTTTTTAATTCAAATGAATATTTCGTAAGAACTACTTGTTATCTGAAGTTTATACCATTTTGGTGCAGTGAATAAACAATTAATGTGGATGTAAAAGCTCCTCTTGGTATCAAATATCAAATTCTGGCGCACCATGGTGTGTGTGTGCGTGAGTGTCTGTGACAGTGCCGTCATTCAGCTTAACAACCACATTACACACACCTGAGGGATAAATATTAGTCATTACACAACTAGATAGCCTTGGAAACTACCATCCGTCGACCAGTAGACTCTTGATATAAAAGATGTTCTGGTGATCTGTTAATGATTGTTTTTAGCATGAAAAGGATATTGAAAAATATCAATAAGGCTGTAGCTAAACACTTTAACATGCAGGCCATAGAATAAGTGCTGAAATGCACTGTTCCTTCATTGCATTTAAAGACTTATTGTTACTATGGGTAATCTTCAGGCAAATTTCAAAAGTTTGATTGTATTCATATAGACTAATGAAATTACGGATGGATACGGTAAGCAAGATTATATCAGCTATTATTTAAAGTGTCACAGTTGTTATAAAAACTGGAAACGATAATTGAAGAACAGATAAAAAAATTCAAAACACTGCAGAGTTGTACAAGTCATTGGTTTATTCTTTTACGTTCCCAGTGGAACATAAGGCTTCGAGCTAGAGCTTTGAAGTTTCGGTAGCAGTGGTATTTATTTTTACGCGATGCGGTCGCTAGCCTCATCTCTAAGCTTCCCTCTTTACCCAGTCTTATTACTAGCTTAGTGAGGTAAAGGAGTGTGTTGATGGGGCACCAAACCCCGAACCACTTGAGTAATTGGCGAGCATTCTACCGTTGTGCCAACGACACATGCGCAAATCATTGAATGACTTAAATTTATCTGAAAGTGGCTTTATACAATATTAATTATCATAGTAATAAAGAGAAACGCATCTACTGTAAGTAGGCGAATTAAATCACAAATTACTTGTGAAGATGTAAAATTATCTACAAGAAAGATAAACACAAGGGACTGATTATACGTCTATAGTATTTTCCTCTTTAGTAAAAAATATAATTTTCAAGGAAAAAGATTTAACTGTCAATGTTAATTTTTACGATTAGTCACTTTAAAAAGGTTTGTCCAAAACATGAGAACGAGTTAACTAAAAGGTTTATGTACCTACATCAAGAAGTTAAGACATTCTGGTGTAACCCAACCCTTACTCCTACAATTTGTTAACTCCCGTATTCTGCCTATTATTCTTTATTGTTCCCTCTTAGTCTTTCCTGGGCTATTGAAGAAAGACTATACCTAATTACGTAGGATGTTAAAGGTTGTCAGGAGGGTGAGCAGTTTGCCACTTAGCCAGCTTGTTAATATTCTGGTCGATAGGCACTTGGAGTCATGTGAAAAGTGGGCAAAATCCATTTTATCTAACTCAAAACACCCTGTTCATTCACAACTGTCCCCTTGTATCTCATCAGGCAAAACCAGAAGCCCATATAGAAAACTATATGCTAGGACTAGCAAGTACAAAAACTCAACCATGGCCTACTTAGCTCGTGTTCTGTGCGATAAAGAAAGCATTAGGCGTGATACCTATAACTTACTAAATAGTCGGTAGAACAACTGGATCTCGTCTTTTCAACTCATATCATTTATAGGTACGTTTTCTTTCTTTCTTTTCCTTTTCTCTCTCTTTTTTTTTCTTTGTTATGTGCTCCTTTGTTTCTTTCTTCTGCTTACGCCAGTAAATATGCTAGTATCTACTTTTCTAACACCTTCAAACACTCTGTTCAATTTTTGGCTTTGCTACTGACATACCAATATGTTATTGTCATAATGAACTGAGATTTCCTTAATCTATGTAGAGTTTTATTTATTGATAATGTACCAACTGGATGCAATACTGTAGTAAAATGTTGAGAATTCCATTCTGTATCACAAGTACTGATTTGGAATAAAGCTATTATCTTATCTTAAGATTGTAGTTTTTATATTTTAGGAATTCAACGGATATTAGGCAGTATAAATAGCGTGAAAAAAGCATGAGAAAGTTGATTTCCTGTTTTTTGAAGAGATTTTTTTAATTATATCACTTCAGACTACATTCGTATTTGCTAAACAAGAAGATTTTTCATACTTTTTATTATTGCATGTCTATTCAAAAAGGTAGTTTATGAATCATGCAGAGAATGTGATTATTGCCTTGCTGACTTCATAAATTGTTCTCAAACAATCCAATAATGATAGGAACATGATTGAGAACTCACTCCTTTTGATTCAACAAATCCATTTCTATAGAGGATTTCATCATGAGCTGATATCGGTTAGAAAACCGTTGTCAAACCTAAGAGCACTGGACAGCCACATGTTTCATCCTACTTTGGGACTCTTCATCAGTACACACCCACCGACAGTGTTCGAACCCAGAGCCTCCTGTCTACAAAGCGAATGAGCTCGTAGACCATTAAGCTACTGGGACCCGACTCAGTGGTCCATGAATTTCAAATTCTGCCACTGCATGATATGACGCGACCACTATCAAAATGTCATCAGCGAGTATTTGTCCTCACACCCGACCTACAGTATGCTACTGGAGATCTATTTCGATTTATGTTTGTAATCCATTTTGATAATTCTTGTGTATTGATATTTTTATTGGTTAAGTTATAAATGATGCTAATGTCTATTTTTTTAATTGATACAGCTAGGCTTCAGAAGTCTTTGAAATATTTAATAAAAACCAATATCTCTCAAATTCATTAGATGACAATTTCTGAATGTTTTATTTTGGCATATTATAACAAACTAGTTTGAAAGTTAGAAATAGCCTTTTCTTTTTCATAGATGGTGGGTAATAAGCATAGGATGGTCTACAGAACAACACCTCAGCAGAAATATTAGTATTCCTGCATGGACTGGTTATCTTCATCTACATAAGATTATAGTGTTTTATTCTAATCAAGAAACATTACCTTCATATTTTATCAAGAAATGAGTAAAAGAGGCTTCAGTCTCCTAATTTGACCTTAGTGTCCGTACAGTATACCTTTAGGTGAGGAGAGGCTTCCAAGATAGTAACAAATTATGCTTGGAGTTTGGAATTAAAGCCACGAATTGATAAAAAGCTTGGTTTACTTTAAGAGATGTCACGTGTAAGCAAAATGTAGTATTGATATGAGATATGGTGCTACGGGGATTCAATGGATGAGTGCTCGCCAGCCGCGTACAAGGACCTAGTACAGTCACCAACTAATACACTTCTAAACTTCTCCTAACCGGTAGTGCTGTGGTGAGAGCAGGCTGCTAGCCGATTGGTTGGCACTAATCTACGTTAAGGTCTAGGTCACTAATGTGGGCCGTGAGAAGATATGAACAAGCCTGAGTCAACAACCAATCACAGCAAAGTTAACGTGGCAAAATATGATTCGCAGAGAGAACTCTATTTGTCAAGGAATCCCGAAACAACCAATCAGAAGCCTGCGTTTGTCTACCTAAACAACCAATCAGATGACTGCGCTTGTCTATAATAATGTAGTTGAAAGATGTATAAATACGTGTTGATTTTCATAATAAAACGATCTGTTGCCTGGCCCTTGTCTTCTGTTGTTACATTTGGTGTCGCTGCCTACCGACAAATGGAAAGCCTATGCCCTGCTGTTTTCGATGGAGACATATGGTCTTCGGGCAGGACTTCAAGGCTTCTGCGCAGTTGAGTGGCGTTCAAGATCTGTCAGCGATGGAGCTGCTACTTGAGACGCTGCTGGGAGGTCGGGTGAAAGCAGCATATGAAGGTGTGGGCCGAAGTATGGACGAATGTTCGACAGGTCAGGCAAACAGTTTCCAAAGTGGGAAGGACCATATATGGTCACTTCGAGATGGGGTTACGCAGACACAGTCGCAATGGCGAACAATGAGAGGCGCGTGAACGTCAGCGAGCTCCAGAAATGGATACAGCAAGACAAGCCAACGATGACGCCTGCACCAAGTAGATCAAGCCGACTTCAGTCGCACGTATTTGACGGGGGACGAGTGTGGTGAGAGCAGGCTGCTAGCCGATTGGTTGGCACTAATCTACGTTAAGGTCTAGGTCACTAATGTGGGCCGTGAGAAGATATGAACAAGCCTGAGTCAACAACCAATCACAGCAAAGTTAACGTGGCAAAATATGATTCGCAGAGAGAACTCTATTTGTCAAGGAATCCCGAAACAACCAATCAGAAGCCTGCGTTTGTCTACCTAAACAACCAATCAGATGACTGCGCTTGTCTATAATAATGTAGTTGAAAGATGTATAAATACGTGTGATTTTCATAATAAAACGATCTGTTGCCTGGCCCTTGTCTTCTGTTGTTACATCCAGTAAAGAAGAAAGTTGTGGCATAATTTTAACAGTCCTGCTCTATATTAACACCACCGCAGCTACTGAAGCCTCAAAGAAACATATATAACTTTATATCGAAATCATGGTGGGTTAAATTTTAGACATTGTGTGTCGGTGGCACAGTGGTTAGGACTCTCGCCGACCATGCAAATGGTCCGAGATTTGATCCCCTGCCGACGCACACCTGATATCTATGATCGGCTTGCTAAATTTGGGCTACCGATATCACATGCTGAAAATTCCACACCTGTACCAAAAAAATACGGTGTGAAATCAAGCTGAAATCAAAATAAATAAAAAAATAAAAATTAAATGAACAAAAGTGACTATATCTTGAAAAAGAGACTACTGTCATCAAGCTTAGAACGTTGGTATTCACATTTATGCAAGCATTTTGTATTTACTTCAACAGATCCTTCTACCTAGTAAAATGTTTACTGCTTGGTGAATCTAAAATGTTTCTTAATTACTGTCTGTTTGATAAAAATATTTTATTTGAAAACTTTGCAGCCTGTTGTAAATGATTGTACACTGTTTAATGAGCATATCAAAGAAGGGGAAAGGTGTTTATTCAATGAAGAAATGGAGATGATTACTGCTCCTGTTGGAAATGTCTGTTTGTCTTTCAGTAAGTATCAAAATTAGTTGAATCATATATTTTTTTTCCTAGTTAAAGTTGATTTTATAGAATGTGTCACGTCCATTTTTTGTGGGCTGGGCTCCAGCAGTCAACTAACACTGGTAAAAACAACTCATATTACTTCATTGATTGATTTGAAACTTATTAATTTGTAGCAAAATACCTGAAGAATATGTAATTCTTCAAATTCTACAAATGCGTCTGTCTGATGAAGTTATAACAATTTTTCATTTGTCGTCACTATTAAACACATCAAATATGAATGTTTCATTCTAATTTTGAGGTAGTTCATCGGCTGGTCGTCTTGGTGTAAACGTGACTAATAGATTTTGATCAATTTTGCCTAATTAGCTTAATTACTCATCCCTTTGAATTTCTGAAATTAATATAAAAAACAATTGTTATATACAATAGGTGATGTAAAGTGATATAATCCGCTGCAGAAAATTTGAATTCAGTCAAACTTAGACGAAATCGTTTAGGATACAGTAGTGCAGTTCATGATCAGACCTGAATGCAGTCGAATAGCAACTTGCCTGAAGTGGTAAACGGCGGGATCCATCAAGTTGGGTATTAAGGAAGATATTCACTGATGACATTGACTAGTGGTCACGTCGTATATCAGGAATTGGCAAAAGTCAGAACTGGTGAGCCACAGTAACTGAATCACCAGCGAGCTTGCCTAGTAACCTAACGGACCTACGTGTGTGCCTCTGAAGAGTCTCAAATCTGGTCAAAACAGCTGTTTTGCCTACTATATTTTTCAGTAGTTCTTTAATTTGAATCAGTTCGTGATCAGACTTGAAATCAATTAAATCCCTGCAAGCTAACATTTGAAAATTGATCCCAAACAGTTATAATTTAATTCCTTTCAGTGAATTTGACATATATATATCATTCCCGTGTGTACAACAGTTCCGTGTACTAAAACGGAATTTCGAAGCGTATTATTCTTACCGAAAAATAATTATTCCCGAGATGTTGTTATGCCACTTTTTGACCATTTCTAATGAAAAGTATAATCAAATAAGTATGCGTCCTTAAGTCCACACACGTAAAAGTTGACATTAAAACAGATATAGGTATCTAACCCCTTGTTAAATGCGAAATTATTATGACGTGTTTTAGAGAAGCTTCTAAAATCAACATCAAAAGAATATCTTTCAGTTATTTGTTTTTTTCAGTTCGTGGAAAGTACCCATTGGGACATATAGAAAATCAAAACAAATGATTCACCGAAAAGAGATTCTTTTCAACGAATTTATTATCAAAATGTAAAATCATGTATATGTGGTTTATAAGAAATTATATCCAATGAGGGAATTGAATCATAAGTGTGGATACATAAAATAATAATAGTAGTATGAAATGTAATTAAAATGTTCGTGATTATATTCATTGTTGGAGGCAATCGGCAGGAAACCTGAAGTCAGAAGGGATATGAGTTCCTTCACGGTTGCAAATACGCCTCGCTGACTGGTCAGTACCAACTAGAACGAAACCCAGGTCCAAAGCTTCCTACCGATGGTCTCCAACCATCTAATACCAACAATTCAAAGTATACCGTAATGGTGAGCCACCTAGAATGGTGGCCACATTGCAAACATGACTGATAGAATTCACTCTGCAGCAAACAGAGGACTAGACATATTACACCAATTCAAAGTATAATCATAGTTCAGTATGAAGTGGGGAAAAATTAATGTCATATATAGAACAATTCATAGGATGTATAGAAGTTGGAAGGGGTGTAAAATTATGGGATTAGTAGTTAAATAGAATGAAAATCAAAACGTTGCTTAACATTATGTGGAATTTGATAACATAGAACTTAACGTTGCCAAACAATATTGATTTAGAATGACAAGTGGGACGAGCGAAATAATACCGGAGACAATTCAAAGTGAGAATAGCAATAGTAACAATTGACGTAATAAGGGAAAAGTATACAGGTTAAATAAGCGAAAATAAAAAATAAGTAGAGCCAAAATATGAATGCATATAATTCAATAAAAACCGTACATATACGACTGTATAGCTTGATAATGAATTCGTTGAAAAGAGTTTCTTCACTGAATCACTTGTTTTGATATTCTATTTTGTTTGTATCATTGCTTTCGTTATTTAATTTAAATTAGCGAATTTAACTGTTAATATATGATTATTTCTCCTTTATTTGTCGTCATAAAATTGTTGAAAACTGATTATTTTCTTATTTGATAGTAAATTGTATCTGTTTGGAAAACCATGTAATACTTTATGGTAAACGTGCTGGACTGACTGTTTTGAAACCAGTCAAAATTAAATATTTTCGTTCAGTAAGTGAATCTTACATCAGAATGTTTCCTCGTTCACTTATTATGTGAAAAACTGACTGATGAAATTATATTATGGCCTCTTTTTACACTTTAAAAGCACAGTCTTGGAAAGGTACTGGTTAATATGAGAAACAGTAATAAGGAGAGATTCAGTACAAGGTGAAGAGATTAAGCTAGTCAACGAGATTATGAGGCAACATAGAGTGAGGTAGCTACGATCTATGTTACTCACGCAGAACCACCGCTTTACTCAGCAAGCAATGTTAACTGATGCAGTATTAGGTTGTAAAAAGGGTAAAGTGGTCACACCAAAACATGTCACTGTTCGGTAGAGCAGCTAGTCTGAGCTATGCAGGAAGGTGTAAAATGGCTACCAGGGATGGTTGGGACGCCGGAAATCAAGTCGGACACTTTTAATATATGTGTAAAACTTAGGCATTTGCGGCAGTTTGTAATTTCATATTAATTTATTTACCAGATATATCACGCAGTGAAACAGTATTATTTATTGGATGACGTTTTGAACACAATTTATTGTTTATAATCATATCAGTTAAGAGACTTTGATGAGTCTGGGACTTTTGGTAAAATAGCCTGAAATCGTATCAGGTTCGGAAAATCTTAACCAATCTCCATCTAATTCTTACTATCTTTTCCATTTTTTTCTGTTGTAGTATCGTTCTGTTGCTGTTTTTATATTTCATGTAATCTTTTGAAGTATGGAAACTTGAAGTGGGACACTTCTGTTCAAAGTTCTATGTTGACCATTCAGTTGTCCTTCAGTTTTATTTATGTAACATCATTCTACCTTTTAGTACTTTCTCTGTTCTGTTATGGAAGGTTGCATCCAAAACCGGTGCATTTTCATGTTAAATTTTACATCTGGAGGACGTGTGCTATAGCAGCGCTTTCCTTATATGATTTTGAACTATGGACTAAACATTGTCTGCTGAATGTCAAATCATTTTTAAAATAACGAGAAAGAAATCATGATGAATTCAGCACACTGGTTTAGACACTTTTCTTGTTTACAAAAAAATTGATTTTACAATCGAAAGGTTTTGCGTCAAAACCTGAACTGACGAATAACTGACTGAGGTCAACTACTATCCAATAAGATTATCATGTCGACGTAACAACATAATTCTAAAATTAACAGCCAATAGTTTAGAATGTCGGTTTTATTTTAGTCGCTTCTTATCTGGTATATAATCAGCATCTAACAATATGATAGTTGTTACTCCTTCAACATTCGACTTTTCCAAAGCCAAACCAATTAATTATTCACAAACAATGTATGTTATATCTTGAAACTTTGGAAATCTTCTGAGTATATTACAAATTTGGAATTGTACTTTTAACCTAACGCAGTGTAGTACAATGCCAATCCAGCTTACGTCTTCTATTTTCACTTTTTATCGTATTGCTGGCTAGTAAAGCAAACTCATTATATTCAAGTACCCCAACGGTCCTCTAACCGATATCAGTTTATGATGAAATCCTGAAACCAATCGGATACTTTCAAACCAACAGTTGAATACCGTTCTGATGCTCACTGGTGACTGGTCTTATTTAGGTAGGTAGTTACCGGGGTTCTAATGAGGAGTTGTGACCAGTGGGGCACAGCAGGTAGGATGTGAGGACAAATACTCGCCGATGACATTCTCTAGTGGTCGCGTCATGTCCTGAATTAGCGGGAGTTAGAATTCATGGGCTGGTCATTGGATCCAGTCCCAGTGGCTTAATGGTCTACCAGCTCACTCGCCTTGTAAACATAAAGCCCTGTATTCGAACCCCTTCGGTGGGTACTGATGAAGAGTCCCGAATAAGGCAACGGAAACAGCTGTCCAGTACTCCCGTGTGGTTTTCCAACTAGTGTCAGTTCATAATGAAATCCCGAAACAAATTCATTATACATTAGCATTATTTAGGCGGTAAATAAGCTTATTAGCTTCTTGAAGGTCTTATGAACACGTGTCATCATATTTCTCGTGAAGCGTTTCCTTGTGGAGAATTATTTATAATTTGTTGTGTTTTGCTTCAATATTTTTTGTTTCTAGTCGGATACATCTCATCCTGATTTTATTGAGCTCCAGTTGGATTCAAGTGATTTTATTCAGCCTGTAAATGCAAATATATCACCTTGTATTTATCCAGCAATAATAAAACAAGCAAATGAAACAGGCATTCAAAATTCAATATGGCTAGTCATTAAGCAACGTTCGAAAGCTAAGCGGTTATTGATTGAATGTGTAAGTTGAAGATGTATTTTCCTCCCACCATTTATCTTCTTCTTGAGCAATTGGGGAAAACTAACTTAAAATCAGTATTTGCATGTTCCATTAAAAAACAATCATTCCATATTAGTTAACAAAGATAAAAGTACTATAACAAGATCTGAAAGCGACAAAAATATAGAAATAGTCAACCATGATATTAAAATAATTCAACATGAGTTATACAAATCTCAGGTTGCTTCCAAAAGGGTAATACTTCAAAACATGACCATAAGAAGACAGGTGAAATCTGTAGACAATCATCTGAGCAATATTAAAACTTTCTCACCTCATCTGATACTTCAAATGAAACTGATTTTTTGTCAGTTGAAGTAAGTTGTTGTCATTACTAAAAAATTAATATTCTCACTAGAATGTACAAGGAAACGTATCCGTGCGTCATCAGCTTACTTCCAGATTAGATCAATCAACATTTAAAACTGACAGTTCATCACTTATGTTTTTCTAGTGCAAATATTATCTTTAAAATGTTTCTGCCAATTCAATATATTCAATGTATTCAATATATCAATATCAATGAGATACTCACTAGCGACTTGCCCTATGCAGGTAGGTAGTTATCTGAGATTCTACTGGGAAGTCGTGACCAGTAGGGTGCAGCAGGTCGGGTGTGAGGATAAATACTCGCCGACGACATTGGCTAGGGGTCGGCGCTGTGTCGTGAGTTGGCAGAAGTTAGAATTCATGGGCCATTGGATCGGGTCCCAGTGGCTGAATGGTATACGAGCTCACGTTGTAGCTAGAAGGTCCTAGGTTCGAACCGTGGCGGTGGGTGCGTACTGCTGAAGAGTCCCAAACTAGTCTGACGAAACAGCTATCCAGTACTCCTGGCAGGTTTTCCAATGGTTCTCTAACTAATGTCAGCTTATGATGAGATTCTGTAACCAATCAAATCCCTACAAACCAACACTTGAATTTTAAAATATTCCAAGTTTTACAAATAACTAAAGCACTTCGAGCGCCATATGAAGCATTCAAGATAGGATATTTTACAGACCGAAGTTTATGAAACCAGTGTCAAGTTATGGATGATGATAATTTTATAAAAAATAAGATAGGCAATATAACAGTTTATGTGTAAAATAGCTTAAGAAGCTATAAGGCTGTGGAGACTCACAGTTTGCTAAGTACTTCGGAATACATAGAATTACCAATGAACAAGGAATTTTAGACAGTTATTCTAGTTTATTTGAAAAGACTAACGACATGTCTTATGCCGTCAGTAGTAATCTGCGGAAGTGAAATTAAGCTAAATGGAACACTTTTAAGAAGTCTCTTCAAAGTAATTTGAATGATTGTATATTTATGAAGAGATACCTACTCTTATAACAACAGAAGACAAGGGCCAGGAAACAGATCGTTTATTACGGAAATCAATACATATTACCAGATTTTCATGTACATATTATAGATTATTGTTAGCAGAAAAACAGTCTTCTGACTGGTCGTTTCTCACAGAAAGTTAACCTTGCATCTCTTTGTGGCTGTTTCTTTAATGTCAGATCATCTATATGTTAACTGTATCCGCCTACGCAAAGCCTTTGTTCTCATTTTTCTCACGACCAATATTTGGGACATAAACATTGACGTAAATTACTGTCCATCAATTTTGACTAACAGCCAGCTCTCACCAAACTCTCATTTGTATTCCATGAAGAATGTCCGATTAATAAAAGTGTTTGGATTCCTGTGTAAAACAGTATATAATTCAGAGTACATTTTGGACGGTCATGTGAGAAAAATACTTTCAGTCTATACTCGTCTGTGACAATATTTATTTCTTTGATGCTTCCTTAGTGTGATCAAATAGTTGATTAATTTGATTTTTTTTTTAATTTTTATTTATGTAGGTTTTTCCTGTATGGCGTAGTAAAGGTCTTTTAGAATTTTCATCAGATCAACCAAATCAGTATGTCAATAAGGCTTCTTTTGTAATAGCTCAGGATTCAGCACAAGATTCAAACACATTATCTTCATATGATGATAAAATATTGTCTGTAAAGGCTAACAGCTCATCAAAAAATGAATCAGTAGACGAGATGCATAATCTCCTGGTTTCACAAATAGGGATGCATCAACCAAGTCTAAGAAATTGGATTCGTATATTTCGTGATGAGTTATTGCATGTTGAAGCTAGTTTATGCCTTAGCATACAAATTCCAACTGTTAATAAGTTGTCTGAGTTAGGCTTCAAATGTGGAATCAATCCTCAGTCATATATGACTACTGAAAAAGACAAGGGAATTGAATGGAATCGTGTCATTAGTGAAGTTGCCATACGAACACACAGTGTTGCTTACAAGTCAGAAGAAAGTTTATTCACTTCAGAACAAGAGTTATCTGATATTTATTATAAAACTTTGAACATCGATAACACACCAATTATTGGGGATAATGATGATGATGATATTGGGCAGTCAGGTTGTATTAAATTGGCTGCCTCATTGGAAAATATAAAGCAACCTTTCACTATTACAGTGATATGTGGTCCACCTGGCAGTCGTAAAGTAAGTAATCTCTACTCCTGTGCTTAACAGAATTAATTTTTCCATATTTCTCCAACTATTATATGTTATAAAGGTAGAATAAGAACTTTTGAAGAACTTGATAATGTTATGATAAATGATTAAGTCATGTTATTCATTTTACTGATATTTATCCCACTCGATGCTATTCAACTTTATACTCAGAGAGTCACTTCTCACAGATATCTTCACATATGACGTGTCAATTATTACAGTTCATTATTTGCCCGTGTTAAAATTTAGACTTCACTGGGATGTTTAAATTGAACTGATTATGTAAAGTTTCAGAAAGATACAAATATACATGGTTGACCATTGATATTTTATTCTGCCGCTCTTCATTTGATAAGTTCATTTGATGTAATACAGAGTGATACGCTACTAATGATTGAATGATATTTCAAGAATAATTTATTGTTCATAATCTCATGAAGATTCTGATAAGCAGAATTTGTATTTTTAACTTTGATAGGTTTTAAAAGATTAAAACATTGGATTTTTTTTTATTACCATTGCTTTTTGGTATTGTATTCAAAATTGACTGCTCATATATTTAAGTATTGGTTTGTAGGGATTTGGTTGATTGTTTACAGGATTCCACTATGAGCTGACAGTATGCACCCACCGGGTTTCGAACCCAGAACCTTCTAGCTACAACGTGAGCTCGTATACCATTCAGCCACTGGGACCCGATCCAATGGCCCATGAATTCTAACTTCTGCCAACTCACGACACAGCGCCGACCCTAGCCAATGTCGTCGGCGAGTATTTATCCTCACACCCGACCTGCTGCACCCTACTGGTCCAGTACTCCCAGGTTTTTCAATGATTCTCTTACCAATTTAAGCTCATGATGAAATCCTGCTCATATATTTGTCGATTGCATTAAAACTCTCAATTGTAAAGATGTTTGTGTGTATAGAAATCGTTTTAAACAGTTTCTGATAACAAATTTAAATAGATGTTAACAATTCAAGGGAACTCTACTATGATTGCGGGGATTATGAATCCAATCGGTGAAAAATTTGATTACTCACAGAATAATACTGTAACAATCAACATATTAGTGTTCATCTAAAGAGAGTTCATCTGCATTTTAAGCATAACTACTAATTTATTTTAGAGACTAAAATAGAAATTTTAATGTGAAAGTTGGCTAAAATGAGTTCAACTTAATAAATTCTCTAACTGAAAGAGATATCCCCATACTGAGTCGTAAGAAAAAAACATAAACAGCCTAGAAATTTTCTTTGCGATGATTCATTTTCATAAGCTGTATAATCGTAATTATATTTAACAAAGAATTCATAAGACCAATCAGACACTGGTAAAATTTGTCCTCGAAAATGTATTACGTAATGTAAAGTGAAGCAATGCTTCATTTTATTACGTAAGTTTACTATTATTATGATTATTTTATCATTATTATTACCACCATCCATATTTTATTATCACTCTATTACTGTTTATTCATAACATCGCATTTTCAAACAGATTTTATAAAAAAACATTTTATCGTCTTCCCACTGGTTCTTGTCCGATCTACACAATTATATAAATTAGTCGTTTTCTCACACATTATTATTTATTATGTCATCCCAACGTCCTCACTTATCATAAAAGTTTTGTATTTCCCAATGAATGAAAAACAAAACGATATTGTTTCTACTGTCGTTTCGCTATTTAATGCTGCTAATGGCTTTATCACAGTATTATTAAATCAGAATTTACAAAATCTTAGCTTATATATATATATATATATATATATATATATATATATATAAACATCGTTCATCAGCATAGGGTAATTTTTACGTTGTCGGGTTGGTTTATTGGTTAAGATAACAAAACCAGGTGTAGATTGTTGGATTTGATAAGTGTATAAAATTATAAAAACAGCGTGTGTTTACATAATGAAATTGCTAATCACATTCGTGTTGATTTTGTCACTTCATGTGGAACGAAGGTGTAACCTGGTTAAATTCTGTTTTAGTCCATCATTCCTTTTGAGACAATTTGGATTCCTCTTGATATGAAGTGCTTCTGATGATGTGAGATGTTCTTTGTGATTTCTGAAATGTTTTTTCTGGATTATTCCAATATTGTCGAATTCAGTTTTGTGACCTAATTCTATAGGGTGTAGACCGTGTATAGCTGATGATTTTTCAAGTTTTTCTAGTTCAACTGTATTTCCCGGTGGTCGAGCAGATGCTCCACGGTGTTTATTTCTTCTGATTTTGATTTCTCGAGATGTTTGTTCGATGTATATCGCATCACATTCCAAGCATTTTATTTTATAGACACAATTAGATAGAGAATTTTCAAGGATTTGCTCTTTTATAAGGACAAGGTTGTTTCATAATGTGTCTGATGTTTTGAAAAAAACTCTCATGTTGAGCTGATTGATTACTCTTCTGATATCGTCTGACATCTCTGCTCTATATGGAATGACGACTGTTGAGGTCCATGTTTTCGGAATACGTTTTAGACGATATTTAATGTCTGCGTTGATTTTTTTGATAAAGTTCTTTGGGCAGTTGTTTTGCTTGAGAGTTTCAGTAATGTTTGATATTTATTCCTTTTCTTTCTCATCCGTCATCAGAGAGTGTGCTCATCTAAGAAGACTTGAAACCACTGAAATCTTTGCGCTGATGGGGTGTGATGATTTGAAGTCTAAATATTTATTGGAGTGGGTTTTCTTCCTGAATATAGATATACTAAAATATTCATTTTCCTTCCTCTTAACTAAGCAGTCAAGAAATGGTATTTCACCGGCATCTGATTCTGCTTCTGAAGTAAACTGGGTGTTGGAAGACAGATTGTTTAGTTTCTCCAAGAATGAATTGTATAGATCTCGTTTTAGAACAACAAAAGTATCAATAACCTTTCTTAACCATATTTTAGGCGTGAGTATACTTGAAAAGGTGTTATCTTCAAATCTACTCATAGAAAGATCAGCTTCTTCCACTTTTCTAATTTACAATTAGTCACTCCTTCTAGATTACACCTTACACTATGTAATACATTTCCGAGGACAAATTTTAACCAGTATTTTATTGGTCTTATGAATTCTTTATTAAATGTAATTATGATTGTACAGCTTATGAAAATAAATCATCACAAAGAAATTTTTCTTCGCTATTTAGATCTCTTTCTTAATTCTCTAATATGGGCGATTGATTCCATCTTGGTTATAATCCTATACTAGTAACTGATTTCAAGGTAGTATTTATGTGACCTCTTAATTTTTCTAAAGTCCAAGACTATACAACCTAGAATTACTTCACTGAAACCTCTTATAGCTTTTTTATTATAGTAATGAGCAATATCATTTGCTTTTCTTTTTGTGATATCAATAGGAATTGGTGGTAAAGAGCATTCTAAACTTTGTTAAAGATGGCATCGAATGGATTAAAATGAAACCAAATAATACCGATGAGATATTTACATCTATATTCAAAGCCTTACTAAAATATTGTCATCTACAGTTTTCTTTAAACAACAATAATATTGAAATAAAACCAAGATGTCGTGGTATTCTGCTGTGTCCAGGTATTACTGGTTCAAAAGAAGTTCTTGCTGCTATTGCTGAAGTACATCAAAAGCTTGAATTAAATGATAACATAATGCCAATTAAAGTGGGTAAGTATAGCATGGGGCTCATTCTATTCTGTAACTCGGTATATTACCCATTATAAACACTCGCTGTTTGAATCTATTATTATTGTCTTCTTTAGTTCCAAGAGGAACATAGGGCTTCAGCCGCACGTCTCGATTGCGTTCAGTTCTCCGCCATCGTTTTCACCTAGCTCCATATCTGCCCACATACTTTTATCTCCTCCTCCATGTCACCCTCGCACTGAAGACCAACTCGCCGCTTCCCATTCGGGTTCCACTCGAGAGACTGTCGTGGGATGTCACTTGATGGTTTGTTTTCTCAGAATAGCCAATCCACCTCCATTTCTTCCTGAACACATTTCTGTTGCACAATTGGTTCCTGATGGGTTGGTTCTCTCCCAGAGATCCATCCCTGATGCTGATTTTTTCTGGCCCTCTGATCTTGAGTATTGAGCAAAAACAGCTGTTGACGAAAGTCTGTAGTTTGTTCAAAGTGCCCTTCGTGACGCACCAAGACTCTGATCCGTATAGTAGCATTGAATTCACACTGGAGTTGAAAATCCGGATATTATTTTTGATGCTGAGTGCTGTTGATCTCCACACAGACTTGAGAGAAATGAAAGCTTACCTTGCTTTTCCGATTCTGGCTTTGATATCCTCGTCAGTTCCACCTGCCTGTAGTTGAAACGATGCTTCCTAGGTAGGTAGGTATAGGATGTTGTTTCTTTCAGGTTCCTCCCATTTATGCTGTTGTTGGTGGTGGTGTTGGCCAGGAATCTTCATCACCTACCTCTGTTTTTTCTATATTCACCTGAAGTCCTATCTTTTCTGGATGCCTTTTCTGCCAATTGGTTGTTTTTCACTTGCCTATCTTCCAGTTTTCGAGAAATCAGACATATAACCTCAGAGAATTCCAGATCATCCAAGTATTTGTGTGAATCCATTTTATGCCTGTCTCCTCGTCGCCCACTGTCTGTCGCACTATCCAGTCTACCACAATCAGGAAAACCACTGGAGATAGTAGGCAACCTTGTCTTACTCCCGTTTTCAATTTGAAGAACTTTGCGAGCTCCCCGTTGTAGATTACTTGACATACAGCATTGTCGTACAACTGTTAGATGTGGTGTATAATTGTTGGTGGCACTCTGTAGTAGCGAAGTAGTTTCCAAATTGCCAACGCTATTGAGGGAATTTTGAAAGTTACGCCAGTTATAATCACACTCTGTTGACTAAGACAGAAAAGCCACCTACTGTAGCAGTTGATAATTTATAATGAATCCTCATTGTAAATCATTAACATTTCAAATCAGCAGTGAAATATCAGTCATCACGATCTTTTCAAGGAACTTTATTGGAAAGCTTCCCGGGGTTAAAGTTGCGAGTAATTTTCTGTAAGAATAAACAGCAGATCAAAAGCTTATTAAATTCAAACCGATCCATTTGTAACAACTTGTTATGAGTACCACTCCTGTTTTCACTATTCCAGTAGTAATTTCTAGACTGTTTATCATTTTTTATTTGAAAATGAAGATTATTTGTACAAAGAATTATTTATCACTTATGTAAATCTGTTGGAAATAATCTTCGAATAATAGGTTGAGCGAAACACCGATTATGTTTACTGTGATAATTATTTAATTTCAAAAGTGAAGGAAAATAGTGTATCCAGTTAAAAACTAACCAATTTAGTAGACATGTAACGGCAGAAGATTAGAGAAATGGGAGTGAACTTTTTTTATCGAGACAAAACGCCTCATATTTATACATTTTTAAATACAGTCAAAGTCGGCTAGGCCAGAGGACAATAGACTGTCCTGATTGGTTGGCTATTGGCCCAAGGTTAAAAAAGGACGGAAATCTGTCCAATATGATTATATTCAGACCACAACATAAACCGAAATCAGCAGCCAATGACTTAAAATGTTGATTTCAATTTTTAGTAGCATCCTATCAATAGACATCTTTATAGTACATGCCACGGTCAAATGACACTTATTAGGCTATTCTAAGCTCATTTCCGGTTTATACTCTGTCAGTAATATTACAAAATTATTAATAGTGGAGTATTTCGCTTAAGTAGATGGGGTTTCTGTTAAAATATAGTAATATACACAAGCTTGAAATTTGTTATTAATATTTTCTTGGGTTCCGGGTGGAACATAGGGCTTCAACAAAACAGTTCCACTTTGTACTATTTTTTACTGTGTCTTTAGCTGGTCCCGTGATTACGCAAAGTCTCTCATTTCCTCCTCACACGATCTCCTTTATGTCACCTTTGGACGACCCACTCGTCGCTCAAGTGGAACCCGAATAGATCGGGTTCCACTTGAGTGATGGCCTGGAGCGTGATGTCATTCGATGATCTCCTCAGTGTGTGCCCGATCCATCTCCATTTTCTTCTACAAATTTGTTGAGCAATTGGCTCTTGGTTGATTTGTTCCCACAGTTTTTTGTTAGTAATTCTTTCTGGCCATTCGATCTATCTTCAGCATGGAGGGATGTCAGCTGTAGATGAAAGTCTGCAAACTGTTGGAAGTGCTTGTCGTGACACGCATTGCAATATTCTGACCTATATAGAAGGACAGACTTCAGATTGGTGTTGAAAATCCAAATCTTGTTCTTTATGCTGGCTAGGTGCAGAAGATTTTCAAACTGGCTTCAGATTGATGAAGGCGTATCTTGCCTTTCCGATTCAGGCTGGCTGTGACATCTTCATCCGTTCAGACTGTCTTTATTTGAAACGATGCTTCCTAGATAAGTGAAGGAGGTAACCTATGTTAAGTCTCTCCTGTTGATGGTGATTTTTTGCTGTTTGTTGTAGCGGTTCGTTGGTTATCTTGACCACCTCCGTCTTCTCTATGTTCACCTGCATTCCTATCTTCACTGCGTGCTTATTTAGCCAGTTTGTTGGTCTTCGCATGCAAGTCTTTGAGTTTGTGTGACATTAGACATATATCATCTACATGCGAAATCCAGATCTTCTAGAGTCTTTTTATCTCTCTAGCTTATTCCTACCTTTCCACTCCCCACAGTCTTCTGCATAATTCAGCCCACCACAATTAGGAATATCATCGGTAATAATAGGCAGGTAGCCTTGTCTTACTACTGTACTCGCTTCATAAACAAGCTTGAGAACTTTATTATTATTCTAGCTTACGGGTCTTGAAAATAAAAAAAAATCCTAATGTTAACTGCCTGGAGTGACAGGTAGATTAATTTCATTTTTACAGTCTTTGTGTCGAAATCGCAAACGCTTAATATCATGTTTAGGGACTATTCATAGATGACCATCATGGTGAGATGTTATTCGTCGGAAATATTTACTCTGAGGATTTCCATCTAGTTTGTCATCAGTGTAAGTCCAAATTAAATGTTTTCACTGTTCTTAACTCTTAAAGATGAGTTCTTTGTTCAAGTGTCTTTTAACAAATGTCCTTTTCAAAAACATCTTTCTTCCTGCATAGATAACTTGCAGCCAATATCTTATAGATACTGGATTTAAATTGAATTCAGTCTGCAACTTACGAAATCAAATATGTTTAATGAAAAAGTTTGGCGTCGATATTTGATTAATTCATTAGCAAAGAGGTTAATTCTCTGCTATAAACTACATTGATTTTACCGGTTAGATTTTTATAACATCAAAATTACTGTCTGTAAAACATTCATGCAGAGGTGAAGCGTGATAAACACCATCTATCTTATTTGAATTTCTTTCCTGATAAAACATTTTCATATTTCTTTTAGGAATTATTAGAAGACAAATAAATGCCCTCTTCTAAGCCATCTTTCAAGGTTTTTAAAGATATACTCCACTGCATAGTTGATCGTAGTAAAATTTAGGTTATCACAATTTTGATCTGTAAACTATATTATCAGTAGTTGGTTTATAAGGATTAGATTTATTTTTACGACTTGATCACGAATTGATATCAGTTAGAAAACCATTGAAAACCAGGGAGTAGTGGACAGCTGTTTTGTCAGCCTAGTTTGGGAATCATAGGCAGTACGCCACCACTGGTATTCGAACCTAGGACCTTCCGGCTACAAGGTAAGCTCGTATACCATTCAGCCACTGGGACCCGATTCACTGGCAAACCCATGAATTCTAACTTCTACTAGTTCGTGATTTAGCGTGACCACCAACCAATGTCATCGGTGGGAACTCCATCCTCACTCCCAACTGGATGGACCTCACTGGTCACGACTTCTCACTAGAACTCCAAGAAACTACGTCTTTCATGGGCCACTGGGTTGGGTCCCAGTGGCTGAATGGTATACGAGCTTTCCTTGTAACGGGAATATCCTGGGTTCGAAGCCAAGTGGGTGCGCACTGCCGATGATTCCCAAACTGGGCTGACGAAACAGCTGTCCAGTACTCTCTGGTTTAAAGAGTTCTCTAACTGATATCAATCCGTGATCAACTTGTTAACTATATGCCTAACATTTACTATCTGAGTTACTTACTGTTTTAATGAATTTCATTGTATTAACTTTCTTTTGTTGTTTACTGCTAGGCTGCGTTGCAACCTGTATAGATTTACGCATGGCTGTTATGGACAGTGGGAGGTAATCATTACTTTTTTTCTACCTTCTAACAAACTGGTTAATTATTTTTTTATCATATCACGAACCCTACATAAAACGACTTTTCAGGCTGGATTTAGAGAAATTACTATGGGAAGAAGGTCTACTAAGAGCGGTAATTCAATAAAAAAAAGAACTGTACTTGAGCTTTTGTTCACTTGCCTAGTTATTTTACCTAGTCTTGCTTTGTTTTATGCAGCATGATTAATATTAACAATTGTATCAAGTGAAGCACATTATGTTTCACTCTATGATATAATTGTGGTTACTATTTAACACATAGTAGGAGGTTTTCGGAAATGTGTTAAATGTCACTTAATTATGCTGTAGATAGTATTCTTCCCTATTGAAATTGCCTTTTTTTCCTAACATGCTGTTAGTCAGATGATACCGTCTACTCATGTATGCATTTTAAAATTCTTTTAAAAAATCATGATTTTTTTTGGTTGATAACAATATTCCCAATTTTAACAGGAGGCCTACTAAAATTCGGCAATCAATTCTACATTTTATGATCTCATAAAGTTCAAACTTATGTGTTTACTGTAAAATACAGTTATTCTTTAGCAATGTATTGTGTTTACTAAAGGTCAATAACCCACACCACCTTACTATATTCGTGTTACAAAGTCGTGTTACGACGTATTACGTTACGTCGTATTTCAGTATTAAACATGTTAATCTACTCTTTGCTGAAGTGCGATATTGGACAAGTCATTATTCTTCCCAGGTATGTGGTAGATAAGATAGTCATAGCTTACCCGCCAGTGGAATTTATTGTGATTGCTATTTTTGCCTCAAAAACACAAGGTTTTCCATCTATAACTGTGTTGAGAGCTGGCTGTGAGCCAAAATTGTAGACAGCATTTTACTTCAATGTCCACGTCCCGAATGAGCGTCATGAGAAAAACAATAACAACTCTTGACCTTGAGAAAATCACCAGCCAACCATAGCAGAGTTAACATGTGGAAATGTGATTCGAAGATATATGGCTTCATACTCTGAGAAACGGTCGCAAAGCAATAACAGAATAACCTTCAGCAAGTAAACAACCAATCAGAAGACGTTGCTTCTCCGCTAACAATAATGTACATAAAAATTTATAAATACCTCTTGATTTTTTCAATAAACCATCTGTTAGCTGGTCCTTGTTTTCTGTCGTTACACTACTACATCCCGCCAGTTTAAATTTACTAACATTGAAAACTTGCACGGCATCCAACCAGTACTGCATCCATTTTTTTTAAATCACGTATACATACATACCATTAGAGTAGTTACTAGTTCTCGTGATACATGAACTAATTCAAAATGATCAACAATGTCGACTAAGTAGGGAGTTATGTTTTAAACGATGATATCACAAATTAGAGAATCTCTTTAAATAGTGATATGTTGTATTGAAATTAGAAATGAAATTTGTTTTTCCTCATAACTGAAACAGAAATAATCAGATTAATCGTAGTGAAGTATACAAGTAGTATATTTAATAATATTGGGTTTTATCATACACATTAGTAGTAGTTGTGTTATCAGAAACAGCAGTATTGACTAATGAAGGCATATTTTATATACATTATTATAATTTGCAGAATGACATTTCCCGGTGTACTGGAACTGATAGCCGAAGGATGGACGAATTATTTACTACTAACAGGACCAACGAAATCGAACCAGGTAGCTTCATATTGATTTATGTTTGAATATTTGTCAAGCATGGACAGTAATCCTCTTGAACAACCACTGTTATTAACTCGCAATGTTAACTAGGTGTTCATTTCGCTTTTAATCACTAAATGAATTGTGTGGCTTTTATATGACTGTGGGAAAATCAAGCTGTTTCCATTGTTCTGTGATAATGAGTTAAAATAAATGATGAATTAAGGGAACATGTTAAAAGTCTTTCGTCATAAGTGTCTTGAAACGGTCTTTCAAAGCACATTACTAAAAGACGAATGAAAATACTCAATACACTTACCTACTCCATTTTTTCTTATAACTATAAAACTGATATGCTGCCTATTCAGTCTGATGAAAAGAGCACAATGGTGAGTGGTAAGATAAATAGCAGTCCTGGTTTATGAGTAAGCTGTGGCAACCAATTAGCTTAATGAATAAAGGACTGATTGAATATACACTGATAGCATTTTCAGAGCTTAATGAAAACTATGACGCTAACTAGTATGTGGGTGAATTTAGCTCTTACAAGATGAAATAATAAATAAGATGGTATTCTTCTGGTTGATATAATGTGGTACTGCTATAATTGTCTTGACCAGTTGGATGAAAATATTTGAAGAAATTAAGCAGTTGTAATCGATTTCAATAAGTTTATCTTCATAATCAAAGTTTTCAAAATGGATTTCTATCATTAAGTCAAAAAGTGAACATTTGACTGATGAATAAGAGATCTCATTTTTATTTATTATTTACCAACTTATAGGCATTTATTTTATTATTTTACCTTAATCCTTTTGCATACTGAGTGAAATAGGCCTTCAAACTTGAGCTTTGAAGTTTCTGTAGTGGTGTTTTTTTACGGGTCAGAGTTGCTAGCCTCACATTTAATCTTTCCTCTTCGTGTGGCTTACTATCCGCTAAGCGAGGTTTACGAGTGCTTCGGCTGGGGATCCAGCCACGGATCAGGTATACATACCACTTATAAAACTTTAATAATAGACGCTTTTTTTAAAAGCAAGCACTACTGTACAATTTTCTTGGAGTTTTTATTCTTAACTGTAGTGTAAAATAACTGAAAGTCTGCGTGAATCTACTCTTTTAGAGTTTTCAAATAGCTTGTCTTATTTGGTTACAAGATTTCATCATGGGCTGATACCGGTTAGAGAACCATTGGAAAACCTGCAGGGAGTACTGGACTGCCGTTTCTTCCCAGTTTGGGATCCTTGGGATCCTTTGGGATCAGTGCGCACCCTACAAACCAATACTTGAAAATTGATCTGATTCCCACTAGCGACTGGCCCTATTCAGGTGGGTAGTTACCTGGGTCCTGGTAGGAAGTCGTGACCAGTGGGGTACAGCAGGTCGCGTGTGAGGACAAACACTTTCCGAAGACATTGGCTAGTGGTCGCACCATATCACGAATAGGAAGAAGTTGGGATTCACGGGCTGACCATTGGATCGAGTCTCAGTGGCTTAATGGTCTGCGATCTCTCTCGCCTTGTAACTAGAAGGTCCCGGGTTCGAACCCTGGCAGCGAGTGCGTGCTGATGAAGAGTCTCAAATAGGACAATTGAAACAGCTGTCCAGTACTCCTGGGTGGTTTTTCGAATGGTTCTCCAACCGGTGTTAGCACATGATGAAATCCTGTGACGAATCAATCAGTTGCCTACAAACCAATACTTGAAAAATCCTGTCTTAATCTTTTCTTTATCTTTCAAGGTAAATGTAACTCGATTGGGAGTGCCACTCAGTGAAGTTGAAGAACTCTTACATTCAGTCAATCCACGTCTTGGTCATTTATCTACACCTGATGGAAAAGCAGAAAATAGTCACGTCTTAGAAGCTTTAATGGATGAGAACGAATTTTCTAATCCTGTGCTACAAAGGGCACGTTTATTGTCCTATCCTAGGTACGGAACATATTACTTTGTAAAGAATTTATATTCGATCTCTGGTTTTTTTATAATTGACATGTTTAATGCATTGTATCTTGTGTTTTCTCTTGAAATGAATTTTATATATATCCTTTATACAATAACGCCATTGGTTTCATGTTCTCTTGTTTTTACTAATTACTTTTAGCCTTTGTACGCTTACCCCATGTTGCCCAAGACTGAGAGATGTGACACTTCGTTTTAGCCAACCTCTTCATCGGACATTATTCAACAATGCTGTGAAAGGTAAAAAATATACATTGTATTTCACTTTATCATTGATGAATATTCAGTAGAATAGGTAAATGCCTTTACAGTTTCTATAACATACTAGTTTACCTAATATAGCATATAGTTTAATAGGGACCATTATGGTATTACTGTGTAGAAATATCAAATAAACTATTCTCTTATGAGATTATACCCAACCATAGTGTCCATGTTCCAGTTCTTCATAGTCTATACATATATGGTTGTCTGAGTCGACTTCTGGGCTGTATGGATGTTATAGATGTCATATTGTTATTATATCCTTTAATTCCTAGAGGAACATAGGGCTTCAGCCGTGCGTCTCTATTGCGTTCGGTCCTCAGCTAGAGTTTTCACCTGGCTCCAAGTCTGCCCACATGCTTTCATCTAATCTTCACATCACCTCCTCCAAGTCACTCTCTCATGGACGACCAACTCGCCGCTTCCCTTTCGGGTTCCACTCGAGCGACAGCTTGTCTAGTGATGTCACTTGGTGGTTTCCTGTAAGTATGGCCAATCCATCTTCATTTCTTCCTGCATATTTGTTGCACAATCCGTTCCTGGTTGGTTCGCTCCCAGAGATCCCTGTTGCTGATCTTTTCTGGCCGGTCATCTGATCTTGAGTATTGAGCGAAGACAACTGTTAAGGAAGGTCTGAAGTTTGTTTGAGATGCTCTTTATGACGCGCCAAGTCTCTGATCCGTATAGTAGCACTGACTTTACATTGGAGTTGAAAATCCGGATATTATTTTTGATGGTGAGTGTTGTTGACCTCCACACAGACTTAAGAGTAATGAAAGCTTGCCTTGCTTTTCCGATTCTGGCTTTGATATCCTCGTCAGTTCCTTTGGCATGTAGTTGAGACGATGCTTCCTAGGTAGGTAGGTATAGGATGTTGTTTCTTTCAGGTTCCTACCATTTATGCTGTTGTTGGTGGTGGTGTTGGCCAGGAATCTTCATCACCTACCTCTGTTTTTTCTATGTTCACCTGAAGTCCTATCTTTTATGGATGCTTCTTCTGCCAACTTGTTGCCTTTCACTTGCATATCTTCTAGTTTGTGGGGAATCAGGCATATATCATCGGCGAGTCTATTTCATGCCTTTTTCCTCGCTCCCCACCGCTGCCTGTCGCATTATCCAATCTACTGCAATCAGGAAAATCATTGGAAATAGTAGGCAACCTTGCCTCACTCCCGTCCTCACATCGAAGGATTCCGTAAGTTTCCCGTTGTGTATTACTTGGCATGCAGCATTGTTGTATAACTGTTGGATGAGATGTGTAATTGTCGATGGCACCTCGTAGTAGCGAAGTAGTTGCCAAATCATCTCTCGATCGACGTTGTCGAAGGCCTTTTCAAAGTCGATGAAGTTAAGTGAGGTGGAGAGGTGACTGCCATTCCAAGCTTTGTTCAATGATGATCCGTAGTGTGGCGATTTGATCAATAGATGTCATAGATAAGAGAGTAATTACATTGTTTTCGTTGTAAGATAAACATATGAATCAGAAGTTAGAATTCAAGGACCATTGGATCGGGTCCCAGCGGCTTAATGGTATACGAGCTCGCCTTGTAACCGGAAGGTCCTGGGTTCGAATCCCGGTGAGTGCGTACTGCTGAAGAGTCCCAAACTAGGACGAAAGAGCTGTCCAGTACTCCCAGGTTTTCCAGTGGTTCTCTAACTAATGTCAGCTCATGATGAAATCGTGAAACCAATCAAATCCCTACAAACCAACACTTGAATACATATGAATCAGTTTGGATTTTGTCTAGAACTGATGACTTAAAGTAGAAGTGAGTTAAAACACAAAAGCAGTTCATTCCTCAATGAATATTAAGACAACAACATTTTTTTAAATACAGAGCTGCTCTGTTCTGAAAATTATTATCTTTCACTTTAGGGCGCATTTATTACTTCCGGTACAGTCATAATTTGATGTTATCATTTTATTGTTTGTTTATTTCAAAAAATATTTTCACAAAAATAGGTGATATTTATGTTTTTAAAATAATGAAAGTTGAATACTGTAATTATCATAAGTTTATGTATTTAAGGTGATTTCTAAATTTGAAACGATGAGCTCAGTTTGACACAGGATTCTAAACACCAACTACCAGATAAATAATTTCATCAACTATTGACACTTAGCACAGTATTTCTATCAGTAGACGAGACCAAGGTCAATTGTGTTTTATTTGTTGTTCTGGATGACTTAAACTAAAAATCGTGTAGTGCGTTGTTATGAAAGGTGGTTCAGTCGCTTTACTATTCAGCTTATATCATCAATCGACTTTGATTACATCTGATAATTAGAGGGAAACTGTGACAGAAATTCTGAAACAGCTGTTTGATTATGTTGAGTCCATTAAACCAATCAGTGGAATTAAAAACAGATAATTCACATAAAAATGAGAATAGGAACTTTAGATAAAATTGAGTCGCATCCCCATATTTAGTCCTTTCAACCTGAAGTATGAAACTGAGTATTTCCGAAGATTTTTCCAGTTCAAATTTAAGAATCGAATTAACTTATCACTCAGTATAAATAAATTTACAAACCTACTGTGATTCAATGTATTTATTGTAAAACATTTTCATATTGCGAATTCTTAAGAGCTATTTAATAGGGAAATTTGTTTTCACTTGTAATCTGAACGTATTCTACACCAGTATTCGTATTTGTTAGCAACAATCAACTTTGTTACCTGACGGCAGAAATACCGAAAATGATATTTTGTACTTTTGACAATCAGTCACTGTACAACTTTAAAGCAGAACTGTCTATAACACCTAATCCCAGAAGTTTTCACCTACTGATCAACTGCAAACATATACATCTTTGACGGGTTCTAAGTGTAGTATAGGGCTTCAGTAACACACTTCACTCTATTCTTTACAGCCTTTTTTAGCCGACCCCACGACTGCTTTCATTTCCTTTTCACACCATCTCCTTCGTGTCACCCGCGAACGCCCAACTTGTCGTTTCCTAATCTGGTTCTACTCGAGGACCTGGCACATGATATCAATCTATACAGTCTCCTCCACTGGTTCTGAATTGGGCACATACACTTAAGCGTTGGATCTGATTAATGCCAAAACGTTATTTGTTGCCATTCAAAGGGTGTGTATAAGTCAAGCTTAGTTGGTCTGGCCTCCAACCATGTTGTAAAGCCGTAAAGAGAGTCTGACTACCATCATAATACTCACAAAAAGGTTCTCTTTATATACAGATTGCAATAGCGATAATCTGATTTTAATGAATCCGGTTTTTGCGGCAACAGTAATTATGAAGTACAAAGTAACGAAAATAATTACTTCAAGTGTTTGCAAAGAAGTTTCGGCTACATTGTCATACTTTGTTTTCAAGGTCAGTTGGTTGCTGAATATAATGCATAAAATTGAAAACAGACTGCTCAATTTGATACTTGTTCTCTATAATTCTATTTCAGGCATTTTCGGAAACTTAAAGCCTTGGCCATTTCATGGAAACATTTACACACTCAATGGTCAGGTCGCTTTCGTAGAAGGTTAGTTTACAACCATTTCATATTTTAGAATTATTTATCACAGTATTTGTGAGTCGGTGGCTCATAAGTAGCGTGCTGGCCAACCATGCACGTGGTCCAGGTTTCGATTACTGGCAGGCGCACACCTTTACCTCCCCTAGCTGGTTATGATTCCGGTGAAGAGGGAAGGTTTGGCGTGAGACTAGCAACTCCACCCCGTAAAAGAGCCATCACTGCTGCGGAAACTTCAAAACTCAAGCTTGAAGCCCTATGCTTCACTCAGAACTCAAAAGGAAAAAGAAGAAAAAATTCCAGTATTTGTTTAAAGCAGTATACGGTATTTTAATTTAAAGCAATTTCCTCTGATATTTTCGCCTGAGTTTTAACACATCATTTCTTATAATGAAACTAATTAAAAGGCTTGGTTGTCGATCTGATGCCCGGTCGGCTTGAAACTCAGCAACTGAATTGCCTCTTACCGGTGTTATATAAAATTCAGAAATCGCTTGATAGCTGTTATAGATTAACTTACTGAACACTAATCGTGATGCTGTGTGAAGTTATTACCACTGGGCAAACGTAATTTATGTCATTTTAGGGTCATTTTCTCCTAAATATATTGACTGTTACTGGATAGTAAGACTTTTATACTAGAGTATTTTTAAAAATTCGGCTTCTGTAGTAAGAGTACAACTGAAATGAAATAACTGTTTACTGACTAAATATTTATATTCTGCACACAGACTGCGGTTTATTTATTTCGGTGATTCAAGATTTCAGGTTATACTAATTCACTAAAGAAAAATGTTTCAATATTTTACAAAAACGTAATGATAACTTATCTCAGTTATTATTTGTGCCTCATCTCACGGCGGCCTACTGAAAACTTGGGCTGCCAAAAACCTTCATCATTATATTGCAGATAATTTCTTCTGCTCACTTTGTTTTAATCGATTAAAATATGAACTCTAATGATATCATTTACTCTAGCAAGTATTTAAAGTGTAAACTGCTGCTGATTCTACAGTTTCTACTGAACTTAAGAAAAAGCATAACTGGGGGGGGGCAACATATCCCAATACATGAGATAACAGTAACTTTAAACATAAGCGACCCATAAACGTACGGCCGTCATAATGACCTTGATAAATAGCTGTCAACGAATGACATGAGTCCGAGAAAAAAAGGAGGTAATTATAAAAAAAAAGGTTAATAGAAAAGTGATGTTATGTTAAAAAATTAGTTATACAGGGTAACGTTCTTGTATGTGTTCCAAGAATACATCCCAGTTTCTTGTAGGAATCCCTATTGATAGGCCAAACCAATTTCTGTACATAAACTCATCCAGTTAACTGCATATCATACTGTTACGTGACCCATTTACTGCTCTGATCCTCTTTTCAAGTAACTTATAAACTTTTGATGGAATTTGTGTGTGTCCAATAGAGAAGATTAACAAACCCATCTGTATGACTGACTATATTATGAATATAACCCAAAGATGATAGTTGGCTATAGCTACTTCATTGATCTGTGTGCATGGTTGACCCTAGTAACCCTAGAGTTTGGATGATCGGTAGTAAAACATTCGCGCTACGACCAGATATCGTCTGGATGTATCCTTTCTGCAATGTGGTGTCATGCAATCCCTAAACCCATTGCTGATTGACAGTCAGTCTACCACGATTATATTTCTTTTTAATAAGTACAGTCCGGTCAAAATGAACAATTACGCCAACTCTACCAAGTATCTGATTCAGACTGTTCATTTTCTGTGATGTTATATTTCTGCAGAACTGATACCACTACACTTCAGACACCTGTGAGTTTTCTGTTTCAAATGCTGTTTCTGTAACTTGTCTTTTCAAGACCCACTTGTGGCACATCATCACGATTTTAGTCACAGACAACTTGCACCTAGCAGAGAAGGTACTAACAGCATCCATACACTTAAAAAATGAACGACATACCTCGTTCCTATGTCAGTCTTCACATCTGTACATCTACATCAATACAGACTATATATTTCTGTGAAAATATTACTCCACCACATCATGTCCTATTCCTAAACTTTAGCCTATTAGCCAAACAGTACTGAAATACTAAATTTAGATGAAATCTGCAGCGTGATGCGTGTACGGCATCCATAATCCCGACTGTTTACTGGCGGCTACTCTGATTGGTTGATCAAGGTCATTACGTTCATTTATTTCCATACTTCGTTTGGGTTGCTTATGCTTAGGGTGACCTAGATAACTGTTCCAGAGTTATGTCCTTGCGTCTCAAAATGTACTCCTGAACTTTTTACAATAGGCTCTCAAACAAATGTCATGCATCTCTCTAAGGGGATAAAGAGGTAATACCACAAAGGATTGGCTTGCGCTTCATGTTAGGCGGCATTGTGTAATAGGATCTAATGTCAATTAGTATTTTATCTGAAGATCCAGTACGAAGAGAAAGTATCGTACAATAAACTCCGCTGAAATTCTGTACATTGGATATGTACTGCCTGGAATAAAGCTATTATTCTCATTTTTATTAATTCCTGATTTAAATAAGGTTGAATTTTGTAAATTATGAAAAGTTTTGAGAACAAATCGATTAAACGATGAAGTAATATTCAATTATTTAAGTAATCATTCTAACTCGTTCGGTAAATGATTTAAAGCAGATTGAGGTTAAAGATTACGTATAACTTCTAACTTGCTTTCTCTTATTTAATTAATTTTCCTTATTCCATTTCCAGATCCATCAAAAGTATATAAAATTGATTATGTAACACTTTCCGGTATAAATCGTCTTTACCAAATAACCAAACAATCAGAATTAAATAAAAACGCCAAACCGTATTGGTTAACTTGTACTATTGCAGACGCCTCAAATACAACACAGCAATCGAATGATGAAATCAATAATTTATTTGCTGATTGGATTAGAGAAACAGTACCTAAAAGAGAAAACCCCAGAGAACTTATTAAACATTCGGATTTAACTGAAGAAGACTTAAATAAGATTCATGTAAGGACCAATTTGTGTATATTATCCAGTTCTATTAAAGGTCAATCGTATTCTATGTAGGCCAGTAGTAAAGTTTTTGAACTCGATATTAAGTAATGCCCGTTCAAATCTCGGAAATAACACGAGCTCTTCTGATGCATACATCTTGTTTATGAGTACCAAAAAGCGAAAGAATTAAGTCTCGGGTTCTTTTGTGTGATTTCTTCTTCTTCATTTCTAACAACGAAAATGGCAAATTTGTATAACAGCAAATGTTTATTATAATCCTGTAGTATGAGCTAACATTTACAACATAATAATGGAAACTGAAAGGAGTGAGGAGTTCAGAACTTTGTTTAAAACATTAAGGGATGTAAAATTCATTGTTGTGCGTAAATCTTTATTATAAGTAAAGTGTCACTGAAACTTTCATGTTATCGACGTCCAGTATAGCTATAATGTTTTGACATATTATTAAAAATGCTTCGTTTACTTGAATTGTAGAAGTTTGCCAAACCACTTAGCAAGCTGGTGTGCTAATAGTTGCTTATTTTTATTCAGTAAATTTCGGTATCCGTACATGAAAGACAGAAATTTCTGTGGTGTTTATGGAATGCATAGTGATATATATATATACTATACGGATCAGAGACTTGGCGCGTCATAAAGAGCATCTCAAACAAAATTCAGACCTTCATTAACAGTTGTCTTCGCTCAATACTGCTGAAGATCAGATGACCAGCCAGAAAAGGTCAGCAATAGGGATCTCTGGCAATGAGCGAACCAACCCATCAGGAACCGATTGTGAAACAAATAGGCAGGAAGAAATGGAGATGGATTGGTCATACGCTGAGGAAACCATCAAGTGACATCACTAGACAAGCCATTGTTCCAGTGGAACCCGAAAGGGACGCGGCGAGTTGGTCGTTGGTGCAAGGGTGACTTGTAGGAGGTCATGCGTGGAGGAGATGAAAGCATGTGGGTAGACTTGGAGCGGGGTGAAAAAGTTGGCAGAAAACCGAAGGCAATGGAGACGCGCAGCTGTAGCCCCATGTTCCTCAAGGAATTAAAGGTTATAATAATATATATGTATTACAGTTAGTAACTTCAATTTCAATTACTGCATGTTTAAACAAATTACGAGCAGTCATTAACAGTAATGTTTCATTTTGTGATGTGTATTTGCTTCTTATTGTAGGAAAAGTATCATTTGCATCCACTTCCAAAAGGGTGGTACTATACTGGAACATATTATGTGAATATGAATGGAGAAAAGTCTTTTCAGCATCCATGTAAGTGAATATAACTACCAGAACATGATATCTTTGTTATGATATACCATCTATTTTTGTATAAAGTAATGGAAACTTGCCAGAAATAATTGTTTTGGTATTGAAGGGAACATTGCACTACATATAAGTATAAACGTTTAATTATTGATGTTAGACGGTTGGAGGCAATCGGTAGGAATCCTTGAACCCAAGTTTTGCGCTATTTGGCACTCGTCAGCAAGGCGTATCTGCAACCTTGAAGGAACTCATTTCCCTTCTGAGATTCGAACCCGCGTCACGAAGTGCTGCAGTCAGAGACGTTACCACTGAGTTATCCGGGCTTGCGATCGACCTCCTGTAGGACGGACTGTATTGGTTATTTTGATTGGATACTAGTTAGTAACTAGTGTAATGTGTGTATTCCTTTGTTTGGTGGGGGTGAACTCTATCAGTCAAATTCGCAATGTAGCCATCAACAGGCTAGGTGGTTCATCATCACAGTGCACTTTCAATTGTTGATATTAGATGGTGTTCAATTAAAGTACCTACTTGTAAACCTGAATAAAGTGAGGAAAGTATTGTTGCTTATCTCAGTTGACGGATCTTTTGTACAACTAACGTGTCACAAATGTAGACAAAATTTCAAAAAAGATAATCAACTCTCACAATTTGTTCATGAAATCAAAAGCATTTAAAATATGAGTTGTAAATATTCTCATCATTCTTTCTAAGATCGTTTTGAAAACAGTTTCCACATTTTTCGCATTAATTTATGAAGTCTTCGGCTATTAATTTGAGCCTACCTGAGATTCTCGGGAGGCTAAGGATCAATGGCAGGAGATTCTTAATGACATTGCTCATAATTGTTCTCGAAAGTGCAGATGGCTTCACTCATTGGGGTTTTTCATATTCTGAAAATGTGCACTAATCTTTATTCTATTGTCGTTTCTGTGATACATTTTTATTTATTTTATTTCCATTGCATTTCCTTCCTCTACTTTTGTGTGCTTTTCCGAAGTGTAGCAGCTCAAATTGATGTACTGTCAAGTAAAGTTCTACGCTGATAGTTCAGTTTGAATGAAATAGTATTTCTAAGCAGGTATAAAACTCATACATCATTTCACCTTTTAAGGAAATGTAAAAAATATATTTCAATCAATTCTAATAATTAAATTACAGGACTTAAATAATAGTCTAGTGTTACTTGTAAGGAAATTTTGTTGTATTATACTACAGCCTACAAATCCGATTTCGCATATAATTTTAAAAATCGTTTCAAATGAATAAATATAATTTTTCAAGTGTTGGTTTTCAAGGATTACATTTGATTTTCTAGTTTGATATCAGTTGGAGAACCATTGAAAACCAGGAAGTACTGGACAGCTGTTTCATCTGATGTTCACTTGTGACTTGCTACAGGACTGAGTTTCCTGGAGTTCTAGTGAGAAGTCTTGACCAGCAAGGTCCATCCAGCCGGGAGTGAGGATGGAGTTCCCACCGATGACACTTGCTTGGTGGTCACGCTAAATCACCAATTGGTAGAAGTTAGAATTCAAGGGTTGGCCATTGAATAGGGTCCCATTGGCTGAATGGTATACGAGCTTGCCTTGTAACCAGAAGGTCAGGGGTTGGAACCCCTTTAGTGGGTGCGCACTGCCGATGATTTCCAAACTAGGATGAAACAGCTGTCTATTACTTCCTGGTTTTCAATGGTTTTCTAACTGAATAAATGTAAGTCTGAATAATTAGTTACAAAAGGAATACTGAAGTAAAAATTCTCACTAGAAAAATTTTAATTAAGAATAATAGAGATCAGGAGAGTTGTACAGACTGTTCTGAATGATTTAAATTTAAATCCCTCATCTATTCTACATTTGATTTCGGTCGAATAGTTAAAAACATTAAATTACACTGATAAGTCATGCGTTTCACTTCCTAAGATGTTAAAATGTGAGTCCCACTTATAACACTTTCTTTTTTATGTTTTGATCTTTCTATAACCTTTCGAATTCTGATTATTTTAGTGCGTTGGATACATTTTTTGGCCACATGTGTATATTAGAATTCTGTTTATAATCAGTCACTGCTAGGGACTTTACAATAGTTTTGTTTATCATCCTTTTGTTTAATATTTTCGGGCTGTTTGGTTGACAAGACATTATAACAAGTGGAGATAAAGGCTATCTCGTAGTGTTTTTGTGCTCAGTAAAGCTAATGTCACAACAGATATTTTAGCTGGGTAAAAAAGTTAACAAAACACCTTTAAAACATGAATACAAGGATAAATAGTTCAGCGAAGAATCTCTTTTCGGCGAATTTATTCAAATAGCTGTACAATGGCAATTTTAATTACTTGTGTGTGTGTGTATGTGTGTGTAGGTACACTAGGTTTGTCAGACAAGAATAAAAATTAGTTAGACTTATTGTTTACGTCATCAAAATGTTTCAAAAACTTGATGAATAATCAAATTCAAGTGTTAGTTTGTAGGGATTTTGATTGATTGATTACAGGATTTCATCATGAGCTGACATCGGTTGGAGAACCGTTAGAAAACCTGGAAGTACTGGAAAGCCGTTTCATCCTAGTCTGGGCCCTTGTTCAGTATGCAACTACCAGGGTTAGAATCCAGAACCTTCTACTTACAAGGCGAGCTGGTAGGCCATTAAGCCACAGGGACCCGATCCAATAGCCAGTCCATGAAATCCAACCTCTGCCAATTCGTGATATGGCGTGACCACTAGCGAATGTCATCGGCGAGTATTTGTCCTCACTCCAGACCTACTGTACCATACTGTTCACGACTTCCCACTAGAACCCTGGTACTTACCTACCTGAATAAGACCAATCATTAGTGAGCACCTCATTGATAACCAAATTGTAATTAGGACGGGTGAAGATTAGTTAGTATTGACAATGGCTACGTGAAATGAAAGACGCCCAGAGCAATAGAATGTTAATGAAAGAACATGGAGACAATTGTCCAAAATAAATTATGTAGTACGTAGAAGGAGTAAATAAAGAGTTAGTTAAGAAACAGATGTTACTTAAATGTTATACAAAAACAGCCAAATGTAACATCAGATATAATTACAACCTTCCTCTAGACACGTGGCACAGCGGTTATGACTCTCGCCGACCATGCACATGGTCCAGGGTTCGATCCTCTGCCGACGCACGCCCGATATCTATAGTCGGCCTGCAAAATTTGGGCTACCGATATCACACGCTGAAAATTCCTTACCTGTACCCTAAAATACAGTTTGGAATTAAGCTGTAATCAAAATAAAAAATAAAATAATAAAATCAACTACCTGAGGAAATTAAAGTCGTAACTGACGGTTTTATACAAGTATACAGAAACAAAAGCGCAGTAAGTTCGGTCTGCGATAGATCATATCATAAGGTTCATATAAAAAGATTTTGAATATATATAACTAGATTTAAGTCAAAGCGTTAAATCATTATCTTGTGGTTCTGTAACGATTGTAAACTTGATATTTTAGGGGATAAAAGTTCCAACATAAATTTGTTTCCCATCATAAGTTTCTTTCCAAAGGTTTTGCTTATTGTTACAATTTATGACTCACTTACCTTGTTATAATTAACTACCACTGCAAAGAAGAAAAGACCGACGAGGCTCGAAGGAATGTCTGTGGGGACAAATCCCTTGTAGGTGCATAAATTTAGTATACCCTATCTTTAAGTCTTTATTTACACATCATTTGCGAATTGGTCAAATATCACCACATTCGAAAGCTTTTTGGATTTTGCACGGTGTTTCTAACGTTCTTCTCACAGTTCTGTTCTTCGATTACCTTTCCCAGTGTCTGAAACATATCGTTGCTTTTCTGAATACGTTTACTTATATACTACTTATATCTGATTAAAAGTAACACTCACCACACTACTACTATAAGACCTTCATTGATACTAAACATTTATATGTATTCGACAATTGAAATTAACAATACTAACACAATATTGCTACCATTTGTCAGCTTGAGAACAAGACCACTCGAACTAAAAATAATAATTGTGTAATGATTTAGTGACTACCAACCCCGTGAATACCAGAACCCATTGAACTTATGATAAGTTTCACTTGACTTTACAGTGAGCATGTCAACTTTTTAAGTGTTATTCCAGCGTTTTTAATCAAATGATTTTTCATTCAAAACTTCTACATGCTTAAATATTATTTAATACATTTAACCTATGGAAGTAAGTAACAACGAATACATATCACGAACCTTTATGCAACTAAAGCGTCATGTAATTTTCATCTTTAAAATAAACCATTTTATGAAGAATGCTTTCTTGGAAGCAAAAAAGCTACAAAGTTTAAACCAGTGCAATGTTTTTTCTTCTACTATTTATTGAAGGTATATCTCGAGATTTATTGTGTAAATATGTGACTTTGTTTCTTTCTTTAATATTTTATAGGTATAAATTCATTTATTGACGAATATATTGAAGGAGAAAATAATAAGATTGAAGCAAGAAATGCCCGCTTACGTAGTCATCCAGTGCCTGATTTGTTCAGCTGATCAGTTAAATTTATTAGAATAACGAAAATAACTAATTACTAACTGTCATTGTCCATAAACGACAAGGTGTTTTGTTCGCTTGACTTTGTATAAAAAAGAAGTTTATGATTAATTCACTCCTGTGTGTTTTTATTACTGACTTCATGCATAACTTCACTTTCAAAAATGTCACGTGTAGAGCTGAAGTCACAGGTGCTAAAAGCAATTGGATTGGTTCTGTTTCTGTTGTTAGCAAGTTTAATGAAAAAATTACTGTCTCCTTAACTTGAATTGTTGGAAAGCAATCAAGTCGAACAATAGCCATTAGGGCTGTATTTTTATCCGAATATTTCGGGTTTATAAAAAAAATAAAGGTAAATGAGTTTTTCTTTGTGATACCATTTCATCGTAGCAGCTTGCCAGAATCTGAATGGTTTCATAGGATTAAATTGAGTTATCAGGGCGCTGAAAAGCATAAAATGCGTGAAGCAGTCACCTGATGTTTTAATTACATCTAGATTGGTGTCGATACTGGTTAACGTAAGTATTTGCCAACTGCCCATATAAAATAGTATCCTGGGAGTTTGCTGTGTTAGTTCGACTTTATGTTTTCTGCATGCTCTGTTGTGATTGTGGTAGGATTCTTTACTGTGGAATGTGTATTTTACCTTTTTAGACTGGACAAATAAAGAACCTTTGGTAGTGCTAGGAAGATAGTAGGTTCCGTTGCGAATTTTGTTTATGGTGTATAAAAATTACTAGAGTACGTTAGTCAAAGAGGAACAAATGCTGATAGTTAGTGGATCGGAACATATCAGAAAATGCACATTAAATATTAAGATCGATACAAGGAATGGACTAAATACCAATGAGAGCGATTAATAATGAGAAACATTGTTCGGGATCCATTACACCAAAGGTGGTGTTCTGTGTAAATCAAAGACATTACAAACTTGCATATGAGTAAGGCCCTCTCCTGAACGCTTTTAGTGAACACCCTGAGCCCCTTGGTTAAGGCGTTCAAGATCACAATTCCCGTAGTGGCTGGCAGTGTTTATCACTTTGCCCAAAAAGATTTAAACGAATCCACTTTCAGAGGGAATTTCTGCAGTGATATATCTACTTAACTAACATTCCAGTGTCATTACTTTTTGGGTACAAAAGTGTATGATTGACTTTCCCAGGGTTTGAACCTGACTGGCTTTCTTATTCATAGTGTTCCATTTGCAGCAGGTCCTCTTGAAACCTCCTGGAGTTGTTTCCATCATTCACAAGCTCTAGTACCTTCATACCATAGAAAAAGTGATGTAATCATTGTGGGAGATCTTTAATAAGTGGCTACCTGTTTAAACCATTGGGCTACCTAATTATCCATCTAGCTCTATGCATCAACTTTATTCAATTCCATTTTGTTCTATATAATTTTGTAATCATCCCTGTCATAAAGATGGATGTAACATCTGTATGAGTTGGATGCATTGCATTTGCGACTAAGCCATCCCACCAAAGTACAAAGCATTTACAATAAGCCGTGGTTTCAGAATGCCTTTCCAACTCGCTCCATTAATCATAAGTGCGACTAGCCTCCTGAGAGCTGAGGAAGAAACTGTGATGGTTTTTGTTTCATCTCCTGCATAGTTAGAGATTGTGTCTAATTATTCCGTCAGGAATAGCCCAAGATCATTCTTTGTTGCTGTTGGTTCAACATGAGCAGTGGAGAATTCCTTAGGCTATTAGTCGGCTGGTAAACATGAACCTATGGCATCGTTTAAAGCCTTATCGGTGACATCCTTCACTCAGTCCAAATCCTGATCAACTTTTAATGAGTAGACAAGGTGTTTCATTTCAAGATTAGAGGGTTGATTCCAGAAACCCTCTCACGTGTACATCTCTCAGTTTAAAGTAACGGCTTCAAAAAGAAGAGCTGTCCTTGAATTATTGTTTCCTAACAACTGGGATACATACTGCTACCTCGTGATCTCTGCTGCTTATTAGTGAATCGTATGTATTTGCTGTAATCCAACTGTCTATTGCTAGGAAGTAGCGCTGACTTTCCCTTCCAGGTCAGTTCTTTTCTCGAATAGTTTCTGACAGTTTTTACCGTACTGCCTTCGGTTTGTTTGTTAATTGTCTGCGGTTCGTGTGGGCTTTCACGTAATAACTCATCTGGTATAACGCGATTCATGGAGCGAGTTGGACAGGTATACTGAAACCACGGTTTATTATAGATTCTTTGCACTTTGCCAGGATAGCCTAATCGCAAATACAATGCATTTACCTAATTCACAGGTTAGATTCAGATGCTGTGTCCCTTACGCAGACTATGAGCTTGAGGGTGTTGCACTTGTCTCTGCGTAACATTTCGCTTCCCCCCTTCTTTCTTCGTTTTCAGCAGCAACCACTGTGCGCCAAAGCTGTGTGTTAATTTACATTGCTGGGTTTAATTGAGGTAAAACGTTGTGTAAATAGTTATAAAACATTTTATAAATAAATAAATAATAAATAAATTTATTCTCATAGTACAGTACATGAGGGACGCCAGTTTACAGGCATCATCAAATCGTTACAGAAATAGGACCATATTATTCAGTCACAATTTACAGTCGATAGCAAAATATGTTTTTAACATGTACGCTAGAGATTATACATACACTTGATAAATGTTAATCCCAGTAGTATAAAACATCCTTTTCACTTATGTACAATCATTTCTGTGCACAGTTGGAAAAATCTGCTAGATTGTCAGTGAGTGCAACACATCAGGAAATACAGAAGTATTTTCTTCGCATTAATTAAGGTGGATTGCTAGAACGGTTTTTTCAGTTAGTGCCGTGATACTTAGCTCAGTAGGCGATCCTGACTCCTGAAAACCTAGTTTTCATTAGAAAACTATGATGTAGATGGCTTTCAAATGACCTAATTCCACTTTTCTTTTACATAGATTTCTATGCCAGCCAAGAAACTTACAAACCAGGATGGAAGTTCATCGTATATTTTCACAATCTGTTCTTCTCATATTCAGGAACAGTAATGTATTCTATGAAACTAATTTATTTGCATTGCTGAAGTACCACTTTACATGCTTCATCAAATATAGTTTGATTTTAATCAATGTGAAATCTCTGGGTATCTAAAGTGTTTTTAATGACAAAATAATAAGCGTGTAATCATTGCGTTGATAATCCACAACAGAATACATATAGTGAATAGTGACTATTTCTTTGATGATAGTGTGCTTCGTAGAACCATGAAACAAGCCTTTAAGGTTGTAGGCAGCATACAAATTCAGTGCTGGCAACTACATCTGGACGTTTTTAATCGGTATTTTACAGCATTGTGAAATGTCCTTTTTCCTATAGCTACTTTTCATGGATGTTTCAATACAAATAGACTGCGTAAATGTCTGCTTGAGAACCGAATGCATAACTGCCAGTGATACAGGTAATAGTGTGTGGTGAAGTTATAAGTTCAGTAAAAATAATGTGGAAACAATGGAAAAAGAAAACGTTTCATGATGAAAAATCACTAGTAAGTAAAAAATATTGAATTTCAAACATCAACAGAACACTGGAAATGTGCATTACGTACACTCGCCAATCTTATGGTTGTGATATTTGTACACAACTGTTTTATTCTGCACCCCCGGACTTGAAAACATATTCATTTCAAAAACTAAAACAACGAGAGTAATACGTGAACAAAAAGCATTGCCGGAAAGCGTATTTACTAACGTATGCAAATATAACGTATGAAAACGAGACACCCAAAAGTGACTTAACTCCAACAAGATGACACAAATAACTACGAATCAACTAATCAGATTTCGTATTTTGCGTAAACGTCAACACCCCCTTCGTCTCCTACAAAGGCAACAGTGTTTTTGTGAAAACGCGACAACCATGTGACTTTTTTTCAAGACGCTGTTGAGGTTATTTCCGCATGTACAACTTGTCAGAAAAGAACTTGTGTCCAAGTTGGTGTGTTAATGAATGCACTGATTTGTGGGGACTTTTTTGATGTTCAAACTTCCTCCAGCTAAATATTCTGTTCCTCTGTCGTTCCTGGGTAGTTAAAAGTAAAGCAAGGACGATAGCTGCATAGGCGTAAATTCACTGGTTTCCAGTTCTCATTGGTATCGCGACTGTCGTCCGATAGATTCCTGGAAGATAAATAACGGAATATCAAAACTAAGAAAAGTGGGTTTGAGTGTATTAAGCGACCGTGTATTGATAGAAAGGGTTTTTTCATGGACAACCCAGAACGCACCTCTAAGAAAAGGATTTATCTTGTGGACAATCAATCTTAGTTCACATGCATTATTACACATTATAGGGTAATGACTTAAACTGGATGCCACCATCCATGTGAATGAATAAGTCAAGTAAAATTTTTTATCTTCCCCTAACTACATTCATCACAAAATAAACAACTCCATAGATTTCGTTGGTCTATATGGCCAAGTTAAACTTTAAGCACCGCTAATTACCAATCAGCAAACGACGTCGAATTATCCAATGAGATTCATGAACGTGGGTTCAATGCTGTATAGCGCTTGATTCATTTGTAATGCATGCTCTGACGAAGTTACGGTTGCATTTTGAGGAGGATAATTTTCTGCAGTATTTCCTGGATTTGGCGTCGCTTAGAAAGAAGAGAATTGGTTCGTGTAGTGGTGTGATGAGTTTAAGGAGCTTTAGCAGGTCGACTGATTGATATGTTCATCACTGTGCAATTTGTTTGAGATGAGTTAGCATTAGAGAAGGAAGACTGATAATTTTAATATTTCGTAGAAACATTTTTTGCTAGGTCGCATCTCCAATGTCCAATATCGTTTTTACGGGCTAGTATAAACCAATTTGATTTCTTTGTGCTCGCTTCTTGATTGTAAGGTATAGGTTCCTGATCTTCGGTAAACTTCTGCGTAGCTTGTCCCGCCACTCGACTGTCGTAGCTTTGGTTGACTCCAAAGGGAGTAGTGCTGGGATTAATTATATGTGGTTTGTAGTATGAGGTATGTTAAG